TCTTAACCGCACTTACAGTACGTTATATAATCGGCATTATAATTACAAAAAATACAGTATTTTATAGATATTATGTATTCATATTTTATAGCCAAAAAAAAATGTTGGTTCGATTGACGCCAATCACGATGACCGAATAAATCGTGATATTATACATATATTTTAATATTAGCTTATTCAGTAGTGCTTATCTAGATAAAAACAATATACAGAGATTTAAAATATTATAATCTTTGGCAAAGTTTTCATTAAAATATAGGTTATTAAATTTTACTAATAATTAAAAATATAGGTTATTTTTACTAAAATATAAGTAATTTTTAAAATTTCAGTCGTTTCTCGCCAAGACAACTTTAACTAACAGCTGTTCACTGTTGCTTGCTTGGAAGTTTTACAAATACATAGTTAAAAAATATTGGCGTTTAAACCAGGATAAACGCGTTGATTCATTAAAAAAAATTATTTTGTATTCGACTGACGTGGGTCGCCTTATATTATCATCAATGTACACTCGACCCTTAACCCGTTTCACCACAACGTTTGACGTGTATGTGGTTAAAATTGATGAATGTATATTTTTAAAACTATTACACCTTTACCGGTGTTTCAATGTAAGTTTTTTTTTAGTTTTAATATGACAGTTGATCTTTCTATTCGACCGTTTAGTTGAAAACCGTTTATTAAATTAATATTATTTGTTATGATTTTGATATGCATAATTATAACGTAATACATAATTCTTAACGGTTTGCTCGAACATATTACTTTGTGTTTTAAACGATTACAGAGAGCTGTCGAGCCAGCTCAATGTTGGCCATAAGTTTTGTAAAAATCAATCGGAAACTTCAACAACAAATTATTTGTGTATTATTATTACTGTTATGACTTATTAGGTATTATAAATTGTATTCGATTGTTTAATATATGACTATTACTATAGCATGGTAAATTTTTATGAAACTAAAGTAACGATAATTCGCTAACGGTGAGTACGATCAGATATCTCGAGATCTTATCTTAATATTAATGAAAAACAAATTATTAAATTGTTGTACCTTACTGACCGCAGCATTCTGCATTTATTCTAATTATATGTTTTATTTTGTGCTTTTTATTATTATTATTTATCTATTAAAAAATAAAAAATAAAAGTAATACGGTTGAGTTTAAATATGTGTATTAAATTGTAATTATATTATTAAATACATTTTTATAAACTTGAAGTTTCGACAGTGTAGACTGTAGGTCAATAGATCAAGATTAAATGTTATAATTTAACTTATGGAAATATGTACGAGATGTTGGGGATTCATAAGCCTAATAAATAGGTTAAAATATATATTTACCTTAAGCCCACTCCATCAGAAAAAAAAAGTTAATACTATTAAATATTTAAAAAATAAAAACAATAATGGCGGTTTACCGCGCTGTATGTATTCACGGTCACCGTCTTAGACCAGTATCACAGTTAAGGTCAAAAATCACATGCGTGCGTTCGTACATAAGAAAAAAACGCTCAATATTTTAATTGCACACGTCTGTTCTTCTTCCACACAGCGTGTTAATTGATATTTTTTTTTCAAACTTCATGTCCGTAATAACAATTTAAATTAATTGTTCGTAAAGCAAGACCGTTAACAATAGGAATAATAAGTATTATTACTACCTATTATTTATTTATCATCGACGACCAAACGCAAGTTTGACGTCACCGCCCGCAAAGTACATAGTACTATTTTTTTTTTTTGTTCTAATTGTTTTGGACTTTTTGTGTCACTACGTGAAATCTTGTGGAGGGAAATTTACCCGATGACTTGCTTATCGAAAACGAAACTGTAAAAGCCGTCGTTTTCTGAACACAACGGTGGTCGTATTATTATGATTATCATTAAAATTACTATTTACCGTCCGTGTTCGCGTGTGTATAATACACGGGTAGTATAGTATTGAAAACGGTCAGTCCTGTATTTTATGGCCGTCGAGGTCATGAAATTAAATTTTTATTTTTATCACAGAATATATACTTTACTGTGGAGGTTCCGCCAAACAGGGCGTTAGTGTAACTCGCCAAATATATGTGCATAAACAGGTTTTGATTTCTTTATGTAAGTAGTCACGAACACACTATTTACGCCTTAATATATATATATTTATTTAAAACTGCTGAAATGTTGAATAAACAGCGCGGAAATTAATGTTGACGGTACGAATGGTGCAAGTTTTTTGCATCGATACTATAGGAGTGCTTATGTCTTGTTAATTAATACCGCAAAATATCGACTAGATAAACTAGATAAATTGTTATAATGTTACTACGCATTACCTAACGAGAGCAACGCGAATTTAAGACTTCGCGTGTGGCTTTAGGTTAACTATATTTTTGTTTCTATCTGGGTTTTTCAAAAATATTCAAATGCATTTTAACCTAAAATTATAAATGGGCTTGAGACAGGGAAAAAAATTCATTATTACTTTAGTGATGTGATTTTTACCACGTTAACGTCTCCATACTAAAATCGCATTCAATACTTTTAAATACAAAAATACTTTTAAAAAAAAGTATTTTTTTTTAAATTAAATAAGGAGTTTCTTTTTATATTTTTTTTTTATCAGCTGTTAAATATCAGACAATTGTATCGAAAATATTTTCCTGATAATGTGGATTCAACATTTTCATTTATTTGTGTAGTTTTCTGTTTTAAACATAAGTTATAACAGGGATCACATTCAACAAAGTTTTTAAACTGTAATAATAATTTTTATAAAAAGCTTTAATATTTAAAACTGTTATGTAGAAGTTATTTAATAACTGCTAAAATGAAACATGATGAGAAAATTATGTAATTGTTTCAAACCCTGACTTTGAATATTTTTAAAAACAAAATAAAGTTTTCATTATTCACTAAATTAACAAATATGTTTTTTTTTCAAGTATTAAAAAAAACTTGTTAAACTCAGTTGGAATTACTGTTACTTTATATACATTTTTATTTTACAAGAAATCTCCAAAAATAACAATTTTGCCATTTTTTCCGGTATGGCACTTTGTCAACTGCTTAAAATTATCTTAATCATCATCATGTATCTTCTTTCTTTTTTCGTTACCACGTTTCACTTGGTGCAATTGTTATTTTAGTTTATTGTTTTATCTTTTTGGCTGAATGACTAAATAATTATTATTGAAGTAATATTAAAAGTTATTAGTTCGAGTATGCTCTAGCCAATTTCAACGGTAATAAATTATATTTTTATTGTAACGTTAGCAAACAATGAAGTGAGCTCTAGAATAATTTTAATTTTTTTAACTCAACGTTACGCCATAATGGTAATTTATAACAGAAAAATAGCTAAAGTGAATTATGCATATTTTTTTCATTTATACAAAATTTGTGTTGGCACCTGCGGTCTAGTAAAAGCCAATATTCTATTACTACTTAATTATAATAGTTCTAAGTATGGTAAACAGTGGCTCTAAGGCCCAAGCATTTAATAGTTAGTAATGAAAGTATATAAAATAATATCATCCCCGTCGCCGTATAAATATTTAAATACGCATAATTATTATTCAAAACTGGTTTTCGTCTTAATTCCAAATATGTGTAGACGATTTTTTTTTCATTTTTGCGAATATTATGTTGAAATGTATAAATAAATTATAATTGGAAAATAATTTCCAAAAGTTATCTTAATTATATTTTAAGTCTTCAATTGTAAATTTTGCTGTCCAGCATTTTTGATTCGATAAAAAAAAAATTAGTTATAAGTTAGTTATTACCGCCTCTTGGTCACGTTCATTTAGGATATATATTTATATTAAAATCGATAAAATATTTTTTTTTCTCTAGATAACTAAATTAATACTGCGAATTTCGATTTAAAAACCTCACAAGTTTAATTATGTAATAGTTTTTTAAGTAATAAAGGAAAGATAAATAGTATTTATTAAATACTATATAGTATCCATGAATAGAAACCTTAAGTGGATTATAGAATATTCTCAGATTATTAGTACGCATTTTTAATTATTACGAATAATAATATACAAAATGTACATATTTATATACATATATATTTTATAAATCTTAGTATTTTGTTAAATAACTACTTAAAATGGATCTTTTTTTGTACTTTTGTCATTTTTTTAATAAAAAAAAAGTACTGTCTAATGTCTTCTGTCAATTTTTTTAGCGATAAAAAAATTCTTTCTGCGTGTTTACTCTCATATTAGATTTGAGGTGATGATTTCACGTCTGCTTCTGTTGCCAATATTTTTTATCTGTGCCAAAAGCTATCCCTGTGCACGTTTTTTTAAATTATAATATTTTGTATAATATGTATATTGGACTGTGTATAAATAAACCTTTGTTTTTTTTACTTAACTTCCCACCCCCCTAATCGATAGTAGCCTATTCAAATAAGAAATTCCTAAAATTTCAGACCCCTCTTAACTCTTAAGTGTTAACTTATTCGTCTAACATAAAAATTAACATTTTTTACTACAAAAATGCTTTTATGATAACTAATTAACACTTTCACAATTTAAAAAAAAGATTCCTAAATCTATAATATAACACTTTAAAATCACTCTCTTTGTATTTCAGGATAAAAATTATTTATATTAAGTCACAGCCCATTGAAACTGATAACTTGCTAGAATAAATATTAAAAAAAAAGTGCAATATTTTAGCTTTTAGAACAATTTTTCAAATTAGAAATTTTTTTTTATTAGTTTTCAAGTTGTGATGAAAAACTAAAATTTCTAATGTTAATCAAATGCAAAAACAAAAATACTCGAGGAATTAGTTAAGGTTTAGAAGTTTTAAGAATTTCTTATTTGAATAGCTTTCTATCGTTTAAAAGTGTTAGCCTTATAAAAAACAAATAAAAATGAAAAAAAAAGAAGCTTATTATATTATATAATAATATACATCACAATTTATGTGACTTATGTTTATGATCGAAAAAGTTTAATGGTATTGGTGTTTTATTGTTTGTTTCAGCCATCAGTTTTATTTGCATGCCAAATTAGAGCTATGTGAAGGTCGTCTGAAGCCGACCGATAGTCGGGTCATAAGTAAAACTATAGTATTATTGGCACAAGCCGAAATCGGCGATTGTGATGATTTGGTTCAGTCCCAGTTCTATGGTCAATGGTGTGAATACCTCGGTGTATCTATGGACGACGAGGAATCAATCAGTCGTATTCAAAAACTTCAATCGGATATAAAGGTGCGTTCAATCAATATTATAATTTAGATGGTTTTTATGAACGCAGATTTTTTTTTAATACATATATAATCGTTTAATATTGTTTTTTGATTAGGGTATGAAGCAATCTACTGCTGAGTATTGGCTGATTAAAGAAGTGTCTAGCTTGGAAAACTTTGGTGAGGAACTGTTCGAAGGAAGGACTGCCACCGGATCGCCAGTTATGGTTGGAGTAGGTCCACACGGTATCAGTCTAGAACAGCCGGAACAGGAAAAACAAGTGTGAGTGCACCTCGGTTAAACAATAGTAAAACAAAAATCGACTAAAATCGTTCTTATGCTAATATTTAGGTAATTAATTTTTTAATTATATATTTTTATTTTAGGATTCCTTATACGGCAATACGGAGTGCAGCTAGTCATCGTCGAGTGTTCGAGATGTGGTATCTGGCCGGCGTTGAGCATTCGGAAACTCTATTAGCATTAAAACTAGAGTCTAGTCTAGGGGCGAACACTCTGTACAGAGCGCTAACAGAAAAGCATGCGTTCTATAGTTGCGAAACGGTCAGAGGTGCTGTCACTTCACAATACATTAGAGATCTCAAGGTAAAATAATAATGACCTTTAGTATTTCTAGAAAAACCATTATCGTATGTAGGGCAAAAGTTTTGAATAAACTAATGAAAATGGTTGGCTGGTTGATTAGAAAAATTACAATACTCCAAGAAAATATACCACTAAATTACAACTACTTCTGATGAATAACGTGGCTTGGAATTAAAAAATTTGATTTTTCCACAGAAACCTTTATTGTGGCCAAAGATTTATTATTAATCAATATTAATCATTATATTAGTATTTGCTAAAAAAAACTTTTTAAAAAATTCAAACCTGAATAAGTTTATCTATAATGTTTCAAAACTTTTAAAGAATTTGAAGCTCATAGATTTTCTCATTTAGTATTGTTTGTAAATACGTTTTTTATATTATTATTTCGTACTATTTAGCTGATTGTCTATTAATAATCATTTTTTCAAGATTTTTTATAAAAGGGATATTGAAGTCCCAAATTTTGAACAAATTGCAAAAAAACTTGTTAGTTGTTAACTACTTAACCGATTTTTAAAAAATAATAAAAACTAAAACAATTTAAGAATTAACTAAAGTCAAAGTTTACTAGACATCCACTGCTGTGGTGTTATCAATACATAATTAATTACATACACAATTAATTAAATGCAATTTTTTTGTTGTTTTCCAGGGTACAATCATATCTATATTTAATGAAGATTCGCCGTTGGGCAAAAAATATGTGTTTGACATACAGCGGACGTGTAGAGAAGTGCATGATAATGCTCGCCGTGCGTTGTATGACCAGCAAAACAAAGCAACCCCTACCAGTTCAACAGTAGCGTTGAGCGCACCCGAACCTGAACCGTCCAAGTCCCAAGACAGTTACAGGCTCGCTAAACTCATTGACGCCCTTACATGTCGTATTTGCATGGATGCTACCATCGATCACGTTTTCTTTCCGTGCGGTCACGTTATCGCGTGCGGTACTTGTGCAAAACGCTGCGACGCTTGCCCGCTATGTCGAGGAACCATCGAAGAGTCTAGACATGTTTTCATACCGACATTGGCCGATTTACCCGGTTTCCACCATTGAGAAGATGTGTGGAAATATTTGTATCCTGTTGACAATGCACTGCCAAATCGGATATGCTCGTCTGTGATAATAATAAATATTATATACATATGTGTATCAAAACTTCCTATACTTTCATACTTATTTATTTTTACAATTTTTGATTTTATAATATCTTATGTTTGTTCTTTTTGAAGTATTAATAATTAAAATGATGAAATATTTCTATTAATCTGTCATTAATTATTTTTATATTATGTATATCATACGAATCTTAAGTTTATTTTTCATTACAAACGCCTATTTTGTGTATTAAGTTTGTTTTGTATTACCAGCAAACTATTAATATGAATGTCATAGACGACACAATTGTTCTTTGTTATTTTTATTTAATATATTTGTAACGTATGATTAAAATGAAAACTTAAAAACAAAAATATTAACAATTAGAATATTATTAGGTATAGTTGTGTTTTATTAATATCATCAGAACCATCATTATTTAAGCATTCATAGTTTTTATTTATTGTATTAACATTATTCATGTATTATTTCTGTAAAAAAGAAAAGTTTTCAAACAAATTGATTAAAAAAATGTACTGTTTTTAATTTTTCATATATTCGAACTTTTACTTATTATAAGTCTTAAAAATGGTATTTAGCTAAATAGCTATTTAGTCGATTTGTAGTCTCATTCAAACAATATTAAACCGTTTGATTTGTGCATTAAAAAAACAACTTAATTGAAATGAAACAAAATTGTATAACGTCACATGTTTGGGTATCTATACATTTTACTATCACATGGACATCCTGAATAATAAAAAAATTAAAACTGCTAATTTGATGAATACTTATACATTCTGAATGGGAATGTTATCATTTAAAATTAATATAAGCTTTTTTTTTTTGCTTAACAATATTTTTAAATTTTTATTTAACCAAATTGGAAACGTCGAAGATAGTTTTTTGTATGTTGGAACAAGAACTTTAAAATTGAATACATTTTAGAATACAATTAACAAACATTATTATCAATTTCTTAATTTTCAATTAATTAATTATATGCTTTATAAATAAATAAACTTTAATATACCTTAATGTTAAGTTTTAGCGAAAAATTGCCTATACAGTGCGCCCTAATAAATGCCAGTGTAGAGGCCCCTTAAGTAATTATTTTGTTATTTGCTGTTTAGTCGGTACCTATACACTAATAATTGCAAATTTAAAAAATTGAATTCGGCAAATATCCTGATAATAAAAGGTGAGTTTTAATTATATGTTGATCTATAATGTTATAAATTATTAATTAGTCGATGTAAGGATTTGTTTTGTAACATTTAAAAAATTCGTTTTTATTTTAATGTTGTTATATTGCACAATTTGCATGATCCGCCTTATTATTGAAACATTTATATTAATTTATAAATATTCAATAAAAGATAAAAAGTATTCTACAAGTCTTAAAGTACAATTTTTTTTAAACAATATAAATCTAATTTTGGAATACTGACAACCACCCATTTATAATTGCTCATGTAAAAAAAAAAAAGGCCTCAAAATATAATAATAATCAAAATCATTTTAACTTTGAAGACTTCGGAGCAGCTATGGAAAACAGCGAGCAAGCCGTAAAAGACGTTGTTGCTGCGGTCGAGAAAAGCATAATGGTCGCCATCGGCTTGGTGGAGATGTGGTTGAGCTCTGACAACCAGGTAGGATACGCGGCTGTTGATCAACTGAAACGAAAAATCAACGACAGCGACGAGTCCAAAATAATATACCTGCTAGACTTGAAAACGGAATTATTCGAGTTTGCGTCGAGCACTTATCGGGATGAGTGCGACGACAAATTCGAGACGACCAAAATATGCAAACAGTTTGGCCAAGAAACAGCGGCAATAGTCGAGCATGAAGGAGAACATACAGTAAATTCTCTCATGTACAATATTGAAGCCTTACACAAAGACTTACAGCTCGAAAACACATATTTGGCAGCGTCTCTCCCAGAAAAATTTAACGATATTGCCAACATTTTCCAAAGTCAATCGCAAACATTTCATTAATACCTGAACGAGTTTTTGACATTTGTTTTAGCATAAAAACACATTTATACATTATTTTACGAAATAGTTTTTATTATTAATTAACTAATATAATAATAAAAAACAATTTATAAATTGTACTTTAATTTTTTTTTATGCTAAAATTATATTATTGAATTTTATTTAAATATTACTCGTACAGTGCAAAATTATAGTAAGCTATAAGTCATACATTAAATAAAAATTACCTAATCTAAAAAGAGAAGATTTACTACATTATTAAAAATTACAGTTAAGCTAATAATTTTGGCTATAGCTAAGTCATAATTGGTTTTAATTAGGTACTATCTAAAAGAAAATATCACACGCTATTCAAAGTTCAAACTACAATACCTAGTTTTATTGATATTTTTTCATTTTGACCTCTCACTTGGCAAGGGCTAATTTTTAAATAGGTAACAAAACAAATACTTTATAGGTTGATCAAGGAAAGTTCTACAATATAATATAACTTTAAAGATACAGTTTTAAGTTACGAGGACTCTACACAAAGGAGTAAAGTTTAGGCAATATTTTACATAATCTTAACTAAGATCTTAAACTATAGTGTTTATTTATTAATACAGTGCTCAGTAATAACTAATAAGGTTCTTAATTGATGGCCATTTATTTTTGTCATGTCACCACAGTCATTTCTATAGGATAAACAACATTTTTTTCCTCCATTAAAACTGCTTTGAGCGGAAAAACTATGTGAGGCCAGTATTAACAGTAGATTAACCAAATTTTGACAATGTATAGGAAAAACTTTATCTATGCCGTACCATTTTTATTTTTTTTTTTAATATACTTAATATTTGTTTTATAAACAAATGAGAAAAATGAATCTTTACGAATAAATAATTTTAATTGTGTTTGAGTTAATAAAAAAATAAAAAAGCTACAGCGTATATAACGTTTTTCTCTATCCATTGTAAACATTTTATACGGTTACTGTAAATACTTGTTACAACCTCACATACTTGACGCTCGCAACTCCATTTTTCACAGATAAAAATTTTTGTCTGTATAAAATTTGGCATGAAAAAAATAACTCCATTTTTTTTTTAGTCTGCCCATAGAACTATAGAACTTTATAGTATATGAATTGTAGTAATTTAATATTGTGATTGTGGTTTTTTAAAAAAAGATTAGTTCTACATTTTTCATCTTATATACGGTACACCTACCTAATTGTGTTTTTGAGTTGACTAAATGGCAATTACGTCTTTTCGTCCGACTATTTTGGCCGTAACAATTAAACCGTGCATTGTAATTTGTACCTATCTTGAGTGTTATTGGAAGTGTTATTGTTATTGTTACCGAAAAGTCGTAACGGCGGTCGGTGACAAAAACACTGTGTATAACGACCAAATTTTTAGGTTTAGTCTGGATCAAAACTATCACAAAAATAACTTATGAGGACGCCACCCACCCGTAAGCTACCCCATAGGTAAAGTTTTTCTCTATACGGTGTGAAAAAATGGCCTGGGTAGCGTCCTCTCAACTATTCATTTACTCAGTGCCTCAGCCACCCCCCCCCCCCCCAAATAAAAATATTTCATAATAGGCCCCTGTGCCCCATAGTATGTGATAGCTCGTACTTTTTAACATTTTGTACACAAGTGTTTTTCTGAAAGTAAACCAAATTAGTGCCGTTGTTATATATTATTATGTTTATGTAAATATCTTATACTTATATCGGATATTCCTTTTTTCAATATATTGTTTGCAAAAAAAAAAAAAAGTATGTTCGCGAGTTGAGTATAATATCTCACATTGCCGGTAGATATGACGCATATTATGAGGTCAACAATAAATAAACGGTACGCTCTTTTTGTACTTATTCAAACAAATCGACATGCCGCGTGTTTGAACATTATTATTTATTATATAATATATATATAAAAAAAAATAATCATATTTTAATAATTAATGATGTGTTTGCGTAACTGAAACACAACATAACGAGTTATATGTTTACAGTAATTATTATTTTTTTTTATGATAGTAAAAGACTTGAGAACTTCTAGGATATACCGGCCGATTCTTTACACCAGTTTTCTCTTAAAATTGTTGAAATTTAGTTAAATTTTTATTTTTAAAACAATTTTTTAATATTCAAATTTTTATAATTGCAGTATTTTTTTACAGCTTTATCGACATTTGAAACTTAAATAGCAACACAAACATTTCATTAACTTTTTAAATTGAGAATAATGTACTACAAATTTAGGATAAGAGTTGATTAATCTTAAAAACTTAAGAACTTTAAAATGATTATTCAAAATTGATTATCGAACAATGTTTTTAGTAAATTATTTTTAATTTAAAATGTTAATTAAACACTTATATAGTTAACTAAATAAATACATAGTTTTAAAGGTCGATAAAGCTCCAGAAAATTAAAAAAAAAAAAAAATTTATAATATTGTTCAGTATTGTAGTAAAAAATGTTTTCAAAAATAAAAACTAAAAAATTACAATTATTTTGAGAGTGAACTAATGCAGGGCTCACCAGATAAAATAATAAATACAATTTCCTACAATATACCTATATAGTTATAAGGAATTGGTGTAAAATAATATTTTATAAAATAAAACACAATTTTTTTCATAAAATGTATGGGTTTTTTCCTTTTTATGCGCAATTTTAGAATTTATGAGTTGGAAATTAGCCTTAGAAGATAAGTCTAACATATACGAATACGGCTCTCGAAAAAGAAAAAGTAACACATATGTTATTTAAAAAACATATTATATACTTATTTATATGCTGGCTTATAATCTTAACCCATGTATTAAAAACGGCTTGTTTATATCGTAACTGTTATTATTGATGTTAATATTACATTTGTATCACCGCACCATTTCAGTGTAAAACAACATATTTATCCAAACCGTTTTTGCAAATTTTTCCTGTTTCAAAGGATTTCTAACAGCTAATACAACATGGATAAACTGTATTCTACGGTTTTTGTGTTGATGGTCGTTGTGTTGATTGGAACAATGAGCCAGTCAGCACTATATAAAGTCATTTGGAATTTGACGATGGACAGCCGCCATTTGCAATGCAGTGTAGATATGATTTCCTACCCGGGTTTTGGCATGGTGTTGCCCGAAGTCAAAAACCTTGACAGAACTTCACTTATTGAATTTGGAAAACCAAATTTTCCGATCCTGCAGGTCGTCAAACAGGTAATAAACTTCTCATAGAAATTTAAATATTTTGTGCTTAAAAGTTTCTCCGAAATCTATTAAAATATAAAATACTTCTCTCAAAAAGTTATATAAGGAAGAACAAGTCATGTTGGAATTTGACGATGGACAGCCGCCAATTTGCACTGCAGTGTAGATATTGATTTCCTACCCGGGTTTTGGCATGGTGTTGCCCAAAGTCAAAAACCTTGACAGAACTTCACTTATTGAATTTGGAAAACCAAATTTGCCGATCCTGCAGGTCGACACACAGGTAATAAACTTCTCATAGAAATTTAAATATTTTGTGCTTAAAAGTTTCTCCGAAATCTATTAAAATATAAAATACTTCTCTCAAAAAGTTATATAAGGAAGAACAAGTCATTTGGAATTTGACGATGGACAGCCGCCAATTGCACTGCAGTGTAGATATGATTTCCTACCCGGGTTTTGGCATGGTGTTGCCCAAAGTCAAAAACCTTGACAGAACTTCACTTATTGAATTTGGAAAACCAAATTTGCCGATCCTGCAGGTCGTCAAACAGGTAATAAACTTCTCATAGAAATTTAAATATTTTGTGCTTAAAAGTTTCTCCGAAATCTATTAAAATATAAAATACCTCTCTCAAAAAGTTATATAAGGAAGAACAAGTCATTTGGAATTTGACGATGGACAGCCGCCAATTGCACTGCAGTGTAGATATGATTTCCTACCCGGGTTTTTGCATGGTGTTGCCCGAAGTCAAAAGCCTTGTCAGAACTTCTCTTATTGAATGCGGAAAACCAGATTCGTCGAACCTGCAGGTCGACACCCAAGTAATAAACTTCTCTTAGAAATTTACATATTATTTTGTTTTTAACAGTTATATACCTACCCCACCGACCAGAACTTGTAAGTGTAAAATTAATTTTTGAAATTTAACTCTATCGCTGTATTCTTCAAATGTATTTAACAGGTTGTTGGAACGACCTTTCTGACTGGCATCCAGGAAATAGGCAAAGGCCTATTCGCAAAGGTGCGTTACGCAGTTGTGGTCAGTGCAGTAGCTATTGTGCTGCTCTTTGCTAGTATTGTAATACTGGTTCTCTTATTCACGGCTATTGCACCTTTGCTACTTATATTGACGTCTTATGCACTGTTGCTGAAACTACTGACTATCATGGTATTTCTGCCGCTTTTTCTAGTATGGGTAATCGTCAGTGTCATTGTAACTTATATCGTTATTCATTTGAAACTTTCACATATCATGTAATGTTATCATACATTAACAATTTTCGCATAACTTATATTATTATTGTATAAACTAATTGTATATACTCCAAGCAGCTGTACACCACAACCATGGTGCATAACCCGTCTTATACAACTTGGAACACAAACTATATTGTAAAATAAAATGATTTTGTTTTTCACAAGTTTACTGGTTTGATTTTTTATGTAAATATATATTTTTTATTAATATGGCGTGTTATCGGATCGTTTTTAATAATACCGTTATACAACAGAACATATGTAGTGAAGCTATTTTTAGATACCGTCGACAATTACTTTTAACTTCAACTCAAAACTTTTACTGTCATTTGAAAAAAACGCTTTTACATTCGACCCGCTTAACCCTACCTGTACCACGTGGTGGCGGTTAGGTTAGTAGTATAAAAACCGTACATTAAAAAACGTCTTGTCCTGTTTATATTAAAGATTTGAGTAGAAAACAACTCTAAGCAAACGAAACTCGATTTGTTACTCCAACTTTTCAAATCGTTGTTTACCCAGAGTAATTGCTTTTGCAGTGTGTGTCACAATATTCTTTCAGCTGTGCGGTAGTACGCGGCGGTCCATGATCTTAAGATTGTCTTAAGATAGGTACGTCATAGTAATATTATTATAAGGAAATATTGTTTGGAGGATTATACGCTATCATCGCCGACACGACGACGTTGTGTTTTTTTTTTTTCATGTCCTGATCGATTTTTCAAAAACAAATCGTTGTATACGTTAACCCGTCGCCGGTTTTGTGCAAGTACTTATGTACTTGGAAATATATACACAGGTCTACATACAAGTCTGCGTGGTGTCTGGCTGACAAAATATATTATGTACTGTTGGATCACGTGTGCTCATCCGCCGTCAATCGTTGCTCAAGTCAATTATTTTTAAGACGGTATACTTACAAGTCAATCCGTCAATCCGTCAAACGTTACTATATTGCCAACACGTGTGATTCACAGCCGCCTTGGGTAAACCGAAAAGTAGTGAGACCGGTGCCCTTTGGTCGTTTTAGTCGGTGTTATAGTTTATTAAGGTACTGGTGTTTATTTTTTTTTAATTTAACTCAATTATTCCAAAATTAGTTGGCGAATTTTTTTTTATTTTTTCCCCTCAAAATGTCTACATAATAAGTAGTGTGACCGGTCAGAGTCCGATTTTGGTCACGGAATGTCAAGTGTTTCACCCTTGTGCCGAGTTGGACACATAATATTATTGTGTTCCTATCGCATGTGTTGCGCTAAGTGTAATAAATCACTCGGAATACACTTACCACCATAGCGGCGTTGCTAAAATATCTACTGAAATGTGTTAATTTTTATTAAACAAACGTTCCAAGATAGCTGGCGAGAACCGACTTATAAACATTCTCTCTTAAAATAGTTGCAATTCTGAAGTTTAGCTAACTGGTCAACAGTCAATTTTGAATAAATGGTTTTAATGTTATTCAAGTTCAAAATTTAAGACTGCAGGTGTAGTTGATGTAATGAGTTAAGTAACGTACACAGATAGAAATAACTCCATCCTTTCAGTCCAGTCCTACATTTCAAAATTAAAAAGTAATTATCAAAAATTGGTTATCGACCAGTCAACATTCTCAGAAAATTATTCTTAACTCACACAGTTAGCTACACGTCGTTTAAGTTTCAAAAATTTATAGATAGCACTGGAAAATACTGCAAAAGGTAAATGTTTAGTTATTTTATAATATATTGTAAAATAAATAAAAACACAAATGTTTCAAAAAGGAAAATTACAACATTTTAGTTGTATTAAATGAAAATCAGTGTCTTTCAATTTCTCGATTTCACACAAAATATATCCAAGTTTATTTATTATTACTGGCAATTGTATAGCCCGTCCAGGCCTCGCCCTTATGGAGTATTCAATATAATATGTAATAAGCATTAGCCTTGCACAAAGACCGACTTATACCACTTAAAAAGGTATCCAACGCGTTGACGACCATCGATCGATCGTCGAATTGGGCGGTAAAAAAAACATAATAAAGACTCCAAGACAACACAAACATTGTGCGTTCAACGATTAGGTTTAAAATCGACCTATAGAATTAATTACCCGTGTACTAATACAATATATATATGTTATCTATTAAATCGTTAAGTAGGAAGTCGTCTCGTTCGACGTGTATATGTCAATTGGGAGGAGAAAACGAGACCGCCCACATGGTTAAAAAAAAAATGATCATAAGAACCGAGAGCATTAATGAAAAGTTAAAATTAATGAAACTAAATCTACACAAGTAACATTTATACTGGGTGATACTGTTGCGTGTCTGCCCATAAATGTGCATGGTTCTGTTACATTACACAAGTGAAAAATATAAAAACATGTCTAATGTGAAGCGATGATATCACTGATAAAGATACGTGTAGAGATATGTGAACCGACGAAGCAAATATGTACATCACATTCAGTTAATACAATTTTCTAAGCTAAAACCGAGTGAGCCGTGGAAATTACTCACAATAGTTGTGTGTAAACATTTTTAGTTTTTAAGTGTGGCATAATAAGTACTACATACAAGAGATGATTCGATGTTAATACCAGGAAATTCACATAAAAGAATATCTTTTGAACAATGTGGAGCAGTGGAGGTTTTTTTAAATCGTTATCATACCACAATCTATCTCATACACTACATACAGCACCAAAGTTATTGTTTAAGAACCTCGATTTAAATTGAGCGTGAGCTTTGGAATGTATATAATATTTATCATATGAGGCGACAGTGATATATTCTGAAGTTTCAATAGTAGTTCTATCTTCTAATGATTGTTCAAGTTCTGATGAAGTTGATAACATTTATTGAGGCGAATGGGACATATCTGGATGATACATTATTGACAATGTAGTGGAAGTACTAGTAGATGCTACTTGAGAAGTTCTGAAAATAGATTTTTGGCGCTCTTTGAATTCTTTTTGTCTCTCCGCGTTTGTCTTAGGCATAGCTAAAATGTTACAAAAGTTGTTTTTTTTTGTGTGAAACGGGATCGAAATCCAAGTTATTTATTATCTATTGGTTATTTATGTAACGATCTAGTTTTCCAATGTTTGGTTTTCTAATCAACTTATTTACTTATTGTATAAAATATGAAATTTATACTAGATAATTAAAAAATTATTTTTCTCACTGCTCTCTTGAGAATCATGTTGTATGAACACTGCACTCGTAGATGGTACTTGGTACAAGATGGTATAAGCTGGTTCCGGTCTTATTTTTTTGGCCTTATGGCGCTCTTCGTATTTGTTTTGTTGTTCCGCGTATGTGTTAGGTATAGCTTAAATGTTACAAAAATATGTTTAAGGTGAATCGGAATCGAACCCAGTTTATTTATTTTACGTTACGGCCTAAACATACAAATATACCTATTTTTTTTTTAATAGCAATGATATGTAGTTGTTAGTTATTTAAATTTAATCACACAAAGAAACAACATGAAAGTAAAGAGAGAAAAAACTAAAAAAAAGTTACTACTTCCGTTACCTACTTCCGGTATTTGCACAAATTTACTCCTACCCAAAACATCGTACCGCGCGTAAAGATGTTTACACATCAAAAATTGTATTAACCTTTTTTTTAAATGCGTGAAATAATTGTCCAATTCTGGAAAGCATTTTTTTTGGACATTTTATTTACTTAAATCTTTTTTTATCCGGATCCTTGCTAATATGATCTATGAGTTTAATTTATGACATTCATTTCAAATTAATGACTTTATTCATAGTTAAGCACGACTAAAAATAAAAATAAAAACCCCACATTAAAAACAAAAATTGTACAAATAATCATTCTTGACCATTTTTTTTTTAAATTTTGCAATAATTGTTGAGGATTTAGTTTATTTTGGAGAATCTCAAGTCCCCTCCTCTAGATTTCCGGTAGTAATATGCACATTTTTATATTTTTTTGACGTACTTAAGGGGCGTCTCGTTCCCCTTTTATAAAATTTACCGAATACAAAATAATAAACCACCAGCTTGTTAGGCGGTCTTAATCGATTAGGTCTGATTTGAAGACTAATGAAACGAACTGTTGTTTTTGATTTAGAAAACAAAAACAACAAAATTTAATTTAAAAGCAGTTATTACAACATGCAATTTTTTCAAGCCAAAATCGGATTTCACCGGATGAGCAGCAGCAGCAGTCAGCTGTTAGGACCGCCTATCAAAGATTATAATTTACAAATAAGTAGGTATTGGAAAGTAAACATATTGATAATATGTTTTTGAATAAAACCGTGTATCGGTAACGCCATCTGTCATTGGAAAACGGCACCAAGGTGAAAATCTCAAGGCGGTCGTTATCTTATCTGGCGGTTGCCGTTATCAGAACGTATCCAGTTGGAACTTGAGATGACAAATTCACTTCACTGCTGTTGATTGGAAATTGTGATGCAACACCGAGAAAATCGTCAAGTCGAATCGAGTTAATCGCGTAAAACGGCAATAGGTCGGTATTACCGTGTGAAAAATCGTCGTGTTTCGCCATCGCGGACTCAGGCAACCGTCACTGATGGTGGTCCGTCGCATCCAGAGTTAACATGATCAAGAGGTCCAACGCAAAAGAGATGTTTATCATACGTGCGTTGGAAAAGATCCTCGGCGACAAGGACATCAAGAAGTCGTACCACGCCGAACTTCGAAAAGAATGCGAAGCCGCTCTGCGTAAGTGCCGACGACATGTCGTCTTGTTAGCTGCAAAAGTTTATCTAATTTTTTTTTTTTTAAATTGGCTTTTACAGAGAACGTAAAAGCCGAATGCCAGTCCGAAGAAAAGACGGATTCATCGTCCGCCTTGCCATTGCCAAAAGACGGTAGTTCGACCATTTCGGCTGAAAAATATTTTAGACCTTTCGAGTTGGCCTGCCAGAGTAAGTCGCCCCGGATTGTCGTCACCTCGTTGGATTGCTTACAGGTATTCTGGTCAGGTATAAATTTATTTAAAACGACATTTTACACTTACCACAAGAATTTCAGAAACTCATTGCTTACGGCCATTTGGCCGGCAACTGTACCAACGACACTGGCAAGCCACTAATTGACAAAATTGTTGAAACTATTTGCGATTGTTTTACGGGACAGCAGACCGACGAGGGGATTTTATTGCAAATTATTAAAGTAAGTATTATTATTGTAGTATTAAGTAAGTAAACAGTATGAGTATGAGTATTGTATGGATTGTTTATTTAAAAAAAAAAAATAGTACATTTTTTCTTTGGAATTATTAATTTTTCATTATTATACTATTTTACTGATAGAAAATGTCTAATATGAAATATGTAATATAATCTATTTTAATATTTTCTAATAATTTATTTATGAGATTTTCCAAAACTATATTGGCTATGGATAAATATTTTTTTTTAATGATTTTTTAAACAAGCTTCAGTGTTTTTTTTATTGAAAGATTCTGAACAAATCGCTTTATTAACAATGTATATAATACTTAAACGACTTTATTTTTGTTTTAGGCACTTTTGACTGTAGTTACTAGTCAGCATGTGGAAGTGCACGAAGCTACCATTTTAAAAGCAGTCAAAACTTGCTATAACATATATTTAGCTAGTAGAAATTTAGTTAATCAAACAACAGCTCGAGCTACTCTCACACAAATGCTAAACGTCATTTTTACTCGCATGGAAATGCAAGCGTTGGAAGCAGAAGTGCAAAACAAAGACATAGAAACGGAAAATATAGGTATGTGCGAAATCGATGACACGTTAAACAGTGATGATTCCAATAATCAGGAGTTATCAGAAGAATTTGTCATTAATGATATAATCAACGAAATCTGTGAAACTGCCTTGCAAGATTTAGACTGTGATATAAAAACTAAAGAACTCGCACAAGATATTGTCAGATCTATGTCAGAAGTATGTTGAATGAAGAACAAAATAAATACATTAAAGTTAGAATATTCAATTTTTTAATAAAGTTGTTTTTTATTTCCAGGAAAGTTTAGATGGAACTAACGAAGCGGAGTGCCGTTCAGTTACAGCTTTTAATCATGTTTTACAAAAAGATGCTTTTCTCGTCTTTCGGTCTCTGTGTAAACTTTCAATGAAACCCTTACCCGAGGGAACACCTGATCCAAAGTAAGCATTTATATTAAAAAAAGCAAACATCTCAATCTTCTCTTAATAATATTTTTTGAAAGGTCGCACGAACTCCGTTCAAAAATTTTATCTTTACATCTTTTATTGTCGATTTTACAAAATGCGGGACCAGTTTTTCGCACCAATCCAATGTTTATTACGGCAATTAAACAATTTCTATGTGTAGCGTTGTCTAACAACGGAACATCGTCAGTACCTGAAGTTTTCGAACTGTCGTTGGCTATATTTTTATCGCTGCTATCGCGCTTCAAGACACATTTGAAAATGCAAATAGAAGTAAGCATGACTGGTCATATGATTTTTTATAATAATTCAATCATACGTAAAATTTATTTATTTATAAAATTTACTTACAGGTTTTTTTTAAAGAAATTTTTTTAAATATTTTGGAAACGTCCAGTTCGACTTTTGAACATAAATGGATGGTTATTCAAGCTTTGACCCGTATTTGTGCAGATGCTCAAAGCGTTGTCGATATGTACGTGAATTACGACTGTGATTTATCTGCCGCAAATCTGTTTCAACGGTAAAAATATATACTATATTTTATCATCATCAAAGATAATATAAATGTGTAATTTTTTTTTTTTTTAGGTTAGTAGACGATCTTTCGAAAATTGCGCAAGGTCGTCAGGCAATTGAGCTGGGTGCTACTCCTAATCAAGAGAAATCTATGCGAATTCGTGGACTCGAGTGCTTAGTGTCGATACTCAAATGTATGGTTGAGTGGAGTAAAGATTTGTACGTGAATCCAAACTCTCAAACCAATCTTGGGCCAGAAAAGAATGTACGTGATTACGATGCCAACGAGTCTGCTATTACACAAGACAGTTTGAACTCACTCGACGGCAGTGAGTCTAGCTTGACATCAAACAGTTCAGGCAACAAAGAAGCTCCGGACATGCCACAACAGTTACAGGTGCTTAAACACCAAAAGGAAGTTTGGGAAACCGGTATACACATGTAAGTACTACTTCCATGACGAAAGCAGCAATGTTGGGCAAAATGTAAAACTAACAATAAACAATTTCTTTTTATTTGCGACTCAATAAGTAATCTATTATCTGTTTATTATTTATAAAAACATATTATCTTAGTTAATTTCAAATTTATTTGAAGTCATACTTTATAAATAAAAAAAAACTGACTTTTTTTCATCTCAATTAATAAAAAATTTTTTTTATTAATTATAAAATAAAATATATTAAACATAGTATAAACAAATATAATTTTAACACCAAAAGTGACTAAAAAATAAAATCAAGGTCGAGCGTTTTTGTGTTTAATTTTGTATTTGCTTTTTATTTACATAAACTGCATAATCATTAAAGTTATTTGAACAATGTTAAATTTTTAGGTTCAATCGCAAACCCAAACACGGTATAACTTTTCTGCAAGAACAAAAACTACTCGGTTCTAGTCCATCAGACATTGCTGAGTGGTTTCACATCGACGAGCGATTGGACAAAACCGCAATAGGAGATTTTCTTGGTGAAAATGAAGATTTTAACAAAGAGGTATTCGTACGACTTATTATTCAGTGGCATAGCTAGCGAGGGTGCAGAGGGGGCAGCTGCTATTTTAGGGCGTTTTTGTAAGGTTAACATGTAATATAAAGTGCAAAAAAAATTCTTGCTTTAGTCTCTAGTTATACCACTGTTATTATTAGGCCTTTAAATGGAGTTTAATAATATTTTGTTTTCAATTTAGGTTATGTACTACTACGTAGATCAAATGAATTTTGTCAGCAAAGACGTGGTTACCGCTTTACGATTTTTCTTGGACGGATTCCGATTGCCAGGAGAAGCTCAAAAAATTGATAGATTGTTGGAAAAATTTGCCAGTAGATGGTTTGAGTGCAACCCAAAGTAATGACTTTCTTTTCATATTTGATGAAGTATTTCATTAATTATTAGTGAATTATTTTCAGTAACGGTATTTTCGACAGTGCCGACACACTGTACGTGCTTTCTTATTCGATTATTATGTTGACTACTGATTTGCATTCGCCTCAAGTAAAAACCAAAATGACTAAAGAACAGTATATCAGAATGAACAGAGGAAGTTGTATATCTGACAACAAGGATCTACCAGAAGAGTATTTAAGTAAAATATATGATGATATTGCTGGGCACGAAATAAAAATGAAGACAACTGTAAAACCTGGTAAACAATGTAAGTATGATGTTAAATTTGTGCTTAGAAATTTTATTATTTCCCTTTCCTCTACTCATCATATTTTAGTGATACCTAATGAAAAGAGACGAAAGGTTTTGTGGAATATGGAAATGGAAGCTATAGCAGTAGCAGCTAAAAACCTTATGGAATCTGTCAGTCATGTACGAGCTCCTTTTACTGAAGCCAAACACTTGGAACACGTCAACCCCATGTTTAAGGTGTGTTGTAGTTTTTTTAATATAATTTATATTTAAATTAATTAAATTTGAATTATTCTATAGATGACGTGGACACCATTTTTGGCAGCTTTCAGTGTTGGCTTGCAGGACTGTGATGATTTGGAAATAGCCATGTTATGTCTAGACGGTATACGGTGTGCAATCAGAATCGCCTGTATATTCCACATGACTGTATGTGACTTTGTACTTTGGTAATTACATCTAAGTTTTATATAAATGGATTCTTTTAAACTTTATTTAGTTGGAAAGAGACGCCTATGTTCAAGCGTTAGCGCGATTTACTCTTTTGACGGCCAATTCACCTGTGACCGAAATGAAAGCCAAGAACATCGAAACAATTAAAACATTGATAACTGTAGCGTACACGGATGGAAACTATTTGGGAACTTCTTGGCTTGATATCGTTAAATGCATATCACAATTAGAACTCGCCCAGATGGTCGGAACTGGCGTTCGTCCTCAATTTTTATCCCAAGTTATTAGCAAGACGTATCCACCTATCGAGGCGCTGAGTCAAAAATTAAATTTCACTACCTTGGACTGTAAGTTGTAACTTGCAGTGTCCCTATTTTTTGACGTTTTATTTAGCCAAGGTTAAATTGTTATTATGTATAGCGTCAAGTCAGAAAGGATCAATCGGTGAGACTAGCAGCCAGAGTGTGGTGGTTGCTGTAGATCGTATATTCACAGGATCTACGAGACTCGACGGTGATGCTATAGTTGAATTTGTGAAGGCGCTTTGTCAAGTATGTGTATAGTTTTCACGACAAGCAATACTATATGAATTAAAATTGTTTGCTTGATTTTAGGTTTCCATCAACGAATTGGCCAACTCGACTCATCCTCGCATGTTCAGTCTACAGAAAATCGTCGAAATATCTTACTACAATATGGGACGTATTCGTCTGCAGTGGTCACGTATGTGGCAAGTGCTTGGTGAACACTTTAACCGCGTTGGTTGTTATCCAAACGAAGACATTGCGACATTTGCTTTGGATTCATTGCGTCAACTTTCAATGAAGTTTATTGAGAAAGGCGAATTTGCAAATTTCAAATTTCAAAAAGATTTTTTAAGACCCTTTGAAGTCATCATGAAAAAAAATCGTTCCCCGACAATCAGGGACATGGTGGTGACATGTATTGCTCAAATGGTTAAGTCGCAAGCAGCCAACATTAGGTCAGGCTGGAAGAATATTTTTGGAGTATTCCATCTGGCCGCTTCCGATCATGATCGCGCAATCGTTGACATGGCCTTTCTTACCAGCCGTGATGTGATCAGTAAGTAAAATATAGTAGCTTGCAAACATAATTGTGCAAAAATTATTCAAATAACTAGTTATTCGGTAAATAATACAATTTTTTTCTATAAATAAATTATGATGTTATTTTATTTTTATTATTTCTATAGATCTGTTTTACGAACAGAACTGTATAAGAATGATGGAGTCATTCCAGGACGCAGTAAAATGTTTGTCTGAGTTTGCGTGTAATATTCGCTTTCCAGAAATAAGCATGGAGGCAATACGTTTGTTACGGACTTGTGCTGATTGTGTTCACGATAAACCACAAGTAATAAGTTTAAAGAAATAAATCAAAATGTGTATAACTAAACGTTTACTAAAACATTAAACGTTCTATTTGTGTTAAGATTTTCGCCGAACACTTTTCTGAGGAATCCACTCCATTTGAAGAGGATGGTGTTTGGGTCAGAGGTTGGTTTCCCTTATTGTTTGAATTGTCGTGCATTGTCAGTCGATGTAAATTGGACATTCGAACGAGAGCGCTGACAGTACTCTTTGAATTGATTAAAACTCACGGTATTGTGTTCAAATTGAACTGGTGGAAAGACTTGTTCAACGTGCTTTTTCGTATTTTCGACAATGTAAAGCACCAAGAACACAGCGTGGAGGTGAGTAGTGGTTGTTGATCCAATTTAAAAGTACATATTTTTTTACAATAACCAACATTTGAATTCGATTAGAGAATTGAATGGATGACAATCACGTGCAATCATGCCTTAACTTCCATAGTGGACGTTTTTACCCAATACTTTGACATACTCTGTCCCATATTGCTCCAAGATTTATATGCTCAACTTCAGTGGTGTATTCAACAAGGTAAACATTTCAATTCGGTTAAAAAATACATTTTTCACTGAATTATACTTTTGTTTATGTAGAAAATGATCAATTAGCGCGATCCAGTACCTATTGTCTTGAAAATCTTATAACGTCCAACGGTTCCAAATTTGACCACACCAATTGGGATTGTACGTGTCAGACAATCGTTACTATGTTTGACAGTATGATGCCTAAGCGATTGCAAAATCAAGATCAATCTTCCAATGTATGTAAATTAAACATTTGTAACCATCTTAATTGTTTTCAGTAACTGTCATTGGTCTTAAAATCAAATCTTCAAAATTGTATATACTTTGTTTACAGTCAAATAAGTCAGACATCAGCTTAACAGTCAAGTGCGCCATCCGCCTAGAGTTAATCCAGACGGTGGACAACATTGTATTCTTTCCATCGACGTCACGTAAAGAAGACCAAGAGTACTTGGCATTGGCCCAAAACACGATGATCAGTCAGAATACGGATATACTGGAGCAACAGCAAGAAGAACAAGGCATGTACAGTAACCTGAGTTCAGAACATTTGCTCATGTTGACCGATTGTTTGTTACGAGTGCACAACTACACCAAACAATACAATTATTCTATGTTGCAAAAAATCCCTCCCCGCAGTTACAGTGAGTATTGTACGGTTTTGAAATCATTTAATATATGAGGGGTCTAATGGTTATAATGGTATAAGTGACATAAGCTGTAATTAGAGAAATATTTAAGTTCTAGAATACATGTTCGAGTGACATAATCGTGTAGGTGATTGAACTTCAATTTGCCTTTTGATGAATTGATTTTTAAAACAAGCAAATAGCATTTTCACAAAAACTCAACTTAAACCTCTATGGTTTTAACCCTCTCATATTGTATGTTCCTTTTCATTGTCGTCTATCTGTGTTCATATATAGTCAACGAAGACCTGTCCAATATGGTCAAGCAAGAGACGCAGAGTGTGGCTTGCGTACTGAGGATAGTGTTGAAGGCCATTTGTGACGAGTCAAGGCGGACGCATTGGGATCATGCGCAAAACATAGCGGCAACTGTTATAAATGACTCGCTTCAGTATTACTTATCATTGAACAATCACAATCACCGTACGGCGTGGAATCCTATTCTATTGCTTATATTTACCAAGTTGTATAAATTACCTGAAGACAAGGTATGAAAATCAAGAATTTAATTTGTATTTTTTTTCTTAACCTTTATATTTGTTTTGTAACAGTTTGCCTTGCAAACATCTCAACACTATACTTTATTGTGCGATATGGTTGGTGTCGAAATAAAACCAGAATTGAGAACTGTGCTCGGAAGAATATTCGCTCGTACCGGATCGGTTTTTAAAATCACGTAACAATAATTTGTCCAAAAGGTTTTATTTTTAAAGAAAAATAATATACAAATATTACTATTATACCATTATATTTTATTATTATACGTACAAAAATATTTTAAATGTTTTAAATTTCGAAGAAACATACAACACTCATTCACTACAATCACAAATGTGATTGTATTGATCTCTCACCCAAACTGTTTAAATATTCCTATATGTATAAAAAAACACTTATTAGTTTATTAATTTTAACATATTTTATTACTCTTTATTATTATTTTCAAGTATTATAATTTGTTAACTTTGCTTGTTGTGAACACTGTTAACTTGTTATTTGTGTGTAAACAGTACACCACCATCTATAGTAAAACCCTTGAGTGGTCAACCCCCAAGCACTGCACCCCTATTTTTATGTTATATTGTTGTGTTATTTATTGTATCAGCTATTTTTGCTATTTGAATGTGATTATTCTGTGTAGCTTAGTTACTTGAATATTTAATGTATAAATAGACTATTTTTACAGAATAATACTACCGTCCTTTATTTAAATATACATTATATATGTATTGAAAGTTTTGTTTAAATGTGATTAACATAAAAACGTTTAACGATTGTTAACTATAGTACATCATTGTGTCTTATTATAAAATATATTATGTATTTGATATTTGTTACCGTGCTTAGAAATATATAATTTTTTTTCCTAATTATTTTTATTTTTATGATTCAATAATTAATTTGTTTGTACGATATGTATAAAAAAAATATATACAGTTTTCCATATGTATTTTGTTGAACCACTTTGTATATAAACAAAATTATTTGGAACAAATTTACACGTTAGAAATAACAGCAAATGCAAATGGTTATATTGGTAAAAAAAAAGTAACTAACGTTAAACATAAAACAAAAGTTACTTATTAGGTATTACATGACATATGTACTTGTCGAATAGGATCACATCAAAACAAATGAACAATAATAATAGCTACTATACTACAGGGTGTATCACGATAGTCTGACAGATTCACCTACACATTTAAGTTTTTATGCAAATCTGTCAGACTATCGTGAGGTGCCCTTTACATGCCACCTTTTTATGTAAAAAGAAAAAATTGTAGTCAGTACACTAAAAATACATTTGAAAACAATTCAATACAATAGTTGTCAATTATTACACAAATTTGAAGTCATTTTATATGTTAATTCCAAATGCTTTAAGTTTCATATCGTTAAGACAAAATGCTTGATTATAGGGAAATGACACGTCAGCCGATTCAGCAAACTGCCATTCTTTTTTCTTGGAATTATATTTCTCACTTTTTGTCACTAGCGTTAGTTTAGGCTTGTCAAATTGTACGCCTCCAAAAACGATTAAATCATTTTTAATAACGACACCGTCTATTTTGAAAACATAACATAATATTAGACACTGTTGCCTACTTAAACTAATGTGTACTAGCACTGACTTGCATTGCTCCTGGGTTCGTTCATGTCTGGTAACACAGTCCATTTTAAATATTGTAAGTCAAATTTGAAAACACTCCTTTCAGATGTACTTGGTAAAATGCCGAATCCACCGCCAATGAGATAAACGACATTCTTTCCCATCGCCACAGCCATAGAACATTTGGGCGTTGGCATAGAACCGAGTCGTATCCATCTATTATTTTTTAAATCGTAGCAATCTACGCTAGCAAGCATCGTGTTGAGGTGAATTCCGCCAAACTACACAGAACATTACAGTCGTATTAAATCAATATAACTGATCTATAAATAGTTTCAATAAAACAAATATCTTAAGTTTATATATTTAGAAACATATTAGTCATTGACGTTTAATAGTTTATGCATGGAATTGAACAGTAAAATAAACTTACAATAAATAAACGATTGTTGTGGATGATAGATTTGCAGTATTTACGAGGGGTAGGCATCGGTTTTGAAAAACAATTCCAAACTTTCAAATCTAAGTCATAATATTCTATCGAATTCAACGTATTCTTGTGCATATCTTCACCTCCGATCTATACAAAATAAATTATTATGGTTACATCAAAAATACTCTGTTTAACGACAATTGCCATTAAGTTATTACAACTTACAACATATATGTATTTTCCTTGAATACTAACAGCAAAATTTCTTCGGGTAGTTTTCATAGGCATTAAAGGCACCCAATCTTTGGCCATTGAACTAAGATCAAGTGCTTCTATGTAATTTGTCCACTTATTGGGTTCCTTGAAACCGCCAATTGCAAATATCACACCTTTACTTGAGAACACCATAACGGAACAATAGCGACGAGGTCGAAAAAACGCATAATCACAAAATTTCCAATTCAGATTCTCCTCATCTCTCATATATAGATACTTGATATAGCCGTCTTCATCCCCCAATACACCTTTTATAGCAAAAATAATCTTAACACAAAAAAATACATTAATGTTTCTAATTGTCAAACAATTATATTTTGCTAGGTTTTAAATATTTTTAACATACATTTGATACATGTGAATAAGGTGTTCTAAATGTTGTGTTGGAAATATTTAAACCAGCACGGATATTAACAATTTCTTTCATGAAGTCAACCAAATCTAATAAGCAAGTAAGTAATTAAAATAAACAAATATTATTATACTGTAAACAGAATTTTAATAATAATTTTAAAGGTGCTTACAATCTTTGTTTCTTTTCAGTAAAGGTTCATTAGTTATTCGCTTCAATCTGTTTTTAGGAATCAATGGTAATCTCAAATACTTAAGTAATTCAGGTAAATAGTCCTTGCGTTCACATAAGTTATAATTTATCCAACCAATGATAAATTCAAAAATCTAAATAGAAATTTTACAATATAAAATAAATAAAAGTCTTTTCTGCTAAAAATGTGTTATAAATGTCAGTTAAAAAAAAAAATGGGTTTGGTCTAGAATTATTCAAACCTTCACTAATACAAATGATGCAAGTTTAGGCAATATTTAAATTGCAAGTTGCATTAAATATAATACATATTTTTTATCAATGCATTGATAAACAAACATATTATTCATTTTGGCTGAGATTTGAATTTTTATAGTTTTTGTTCATTTGAAAAAGTTGTAATGCTGTCTTTCCGATTCTGCTATAAAAGTTTGGCCATCTTTGTATAGCAGACATGTGTAAGTAAATGTCAAGAAGCTTCCGCTGGCGTTGCAAAACTTGTTTTTTAAAACTACCTTCTCACCTTCACATTTAACCTAAATAATGCCATCATTTTTTTTAAGTATACAAAAAAAAATCTAACGTTCAAAAATGTATATTTTTTTTTGGACAACTTTCTTAATGAATAACCAATAATAACTAAAACAAACTAAAGAACATATCAGTTAAAATAAAAAGATTTTTTAAAAATAATTTTCAGATAACATTATTTAAATAAAAACATATTTTAATAACCATAATCATTACTTATTTTTTTTTTAAATTTTAAGTGCTTGATTAATGATAAAATAATCACCTGACCAAAATCAGTGAAATTTTACAGTTACATAAAACGTTATTTGAATAAAAAGTTATTTGCTGATAAAAGGTTTTCACAATAAAAAACTATACCATTTCTTCTGATTGAATTTCCAAATAATCGTTGGATATGAACTCGACAAAATCATCAAAATTTAGTTCAAATAGTCCTTCCAAACCCGATTCCGAATTCACAATAGCACTAAAAAAAAAAATGAATTTTTATTGCCTCTTCATTAAAATATTTATGCCAATACTTGGTGTAATACTCACTTGAAGTTCATTAAAATATAATTAAAACAGAAATAGTGAAGTTCTCTGTGTGATATAGGATTAGCATATTTCATGAACGCCATGCAATTAAAGATGTTTATTTTCTCTCTAATATAATTATAACATAATTTTTTTACATTATTAAATTGATAACAATCAGCAGCTTTTAACAGTTTCTAAAAAAAAAAAAAAATGTTATGTTACAAAGATATTCTGCATACTACCTCAATATTATTTTCTTTTATGTTTAATTTGAATGTGTACACGTACGTCAGAATGGATCTTAAGACATCAGACTCGATTTCTTTTAAAGTCACGTTTCTTTTCTCATTTTTTTTAAAGCCACCGTAGAATAGTACTTCAAACCAAGAACTAGCCGATGCCAAAATAAGTTTATGAGCAGCTAATTGTACACCATCATCTGTTACTAAGTTTATATCGGGCGGTGTGTTTTTTCTGTAAATATTAAGTTTCTTTGTTTAGATAGTAAAAACTCCAGTTAGGATAATATTTAACTCACTTAAATAAATGATAAAAGTCTTTGTAATGGTCTGATAATGATGCGCCATTATCGTCAAGAGAACTTAGAGACATTTTGGAGAAGTGTATTGTGCTCTAAATTATATTAACACAAAATTATACAAATATTAATATAAATATATAATAAGTGTAATAATTATTATAATTGTTAAGAGGCAAAGAAATAAAGCAAAGTTTTTCACTTTTCAGGAGAACTAATAAAAACTTTTTTTTGAGAGGACATTTTTAATTGCAAGTAATGGTTTTTTCAGAAATGTTTGGGTGAAACAAATATTGTAATAACCTAAACATGACTTGGCTATTTTACCTGACTGCGTATAAAGAAACATTGTATATTTTTTTATTTGTAAATATAAATGTGTAATTTGTAAAATTTAATATAATTGGAATTCCTTGTTTTACACCAATATTTCAATTATAATTAAAATATACAAATTAAAAAAAAATTACCTATATAAAATACCTAACATTTATATTAAAATTGAGTCTACATAGATTTTGTGTTTGCCTTTTTTAATGTCTTTATCTATTATAACAATAATGTTGAACATGGTAATTATTATTTGTGTTTAACCGCTTATCTTCAAAACTTACTTAAGTCAAGTCTATAAATTTCAATGAGCAAATTGTTTCACTTGTTTGACAACCAGTAGTATAGCGACAGAAATTTAACTGTTATAAAATAGTATTGCTAGCACCATCTCTAATAATGATGAACATTGAACTGTGATCAGAATAGGAACAAACAATACATAGTGCTACGCGTATTTACCCTTAACATAATATATTTATCCCATATAATATAATTAACCATTGATTTCAAATTACTATTAATATTATAGAGCAGAAGGCAACGGGAAACCTCCGCACCATAAATCCCCTTCCCTATTACACAACTCTTGTTAGAAGTTAGAACAATAGTGGTATAAAAATGTTGAATACAAAAATAATATTATTTTACTTATAAGTTATATTCAATAAATGTGTTGTGCAGATAACTGATAGTCGGTAGATGATGATGACTCACCGTTATCAACAGCTGCACGTGCACCTCCAATTTATATTCTTATCAGAGTGTAGTGCCCAAAATATAAACAGATGTAGTAACTTAACAGCTGTTTGGGTAACATTACTTTTGTATTTTTTTTTTAATTAGATTGAAAACTACAATTTAGGATTAAGAAATACTAATAATATTAAGAGATGAGGAATTAAAATTTTTACGAGAAAAAGTGAAAGATATCTCAAATTTGAACGATCTAGCGTAGAGTTCAAACCGAGGAAGACGTACAGTAATGAAGACAATTTGTTTGATTATCTTATTGAAAGTAAAGGGGACAAGAAAATTAAATACGAACCATACATAAAATAATTACCTATATGATAGGGGTACAAATGTCGCCATTCAGAAAAAACTTCAAATATTCAAAAACAACTAATACTTTTTCCAAATGGTATAGGCGCTAGGAAAAAATGATTAAATATTATTATTGCATACTTCATGGACTGTTTACCGAAGTCTTACCATTGTGATAACTGATAAAATTACGATTTTTGACTTCTGAAACACCCACACATTTATGTACGCGCGTTTTACCAATTTTTAATAATAATACAGTAAAAACTAAATCTGCAAAATAGGTCATTTATAAATTACTATAATAATATTATTCATTCTTAAAACATGTATCCTTAAACATACCAAAATACATGATGTTGTTTTAAATAGATATTTTTAACTAAACAGGGCACAGTTAATTGTTAATTGTTATCAATAATTACTATAAACGCAGATAAGATTCATATTTTAAATATGTTGTATTACAATATTATTAATTTTTCTACAGATATCTGCAAAAATTCTAATTATATTATGTTGTAATTATTTGAAAAGCCTCGCTCTATGTACATACAATATACATATTTATATAATAATATAAATAAAAAAATATCATATTATTTATTATCTTTAAAATATAATATAACAAGCTGTCCAGACCCGGCGTTGCCCGAGATTTAGTCTGCCAGGGCTGAGTAAAATAATTCCCATTTTTTTAATGAGATACGAGTTCTATTTTAAATAATTTAAAAAAAAATGAATATGATTTATTGTACTCATAGAGCATCCCAAATGTCTCATTTGAAGCTCGGCAGAACTTTACATTACATCCTGTATATACATATATATATACTTTTATATCTTAATGGTTTTAAGATTAGATTAAAAAAAATATTTCTGTAAGGATTTGTTTATGCTCTCTAAAAGCTTTTAAAAGGAATGTGCTAAGGACTTAAATATTATATATATATACAATTAAACAGAAGAACTTATTTCGACAAGAAAAAAAAGATCGGGTTTTAACAAAAAAACAGAAAAACTATGAATGAGTTTTCTCATTGCCTTTTTGAGTTTTCTACTATTACCAATCACATAAGATTACGGATCGCTAAATTACTATTTGAGTAAATTGATTCACAGGAAAAAATGTATTTAAACACATCATTATAAAACCAAAACCTTCTCAGCTACTGAGCTACCGCATCGAAGCTCAAACTCTATATGAAACAAATAAGATTTTACATTAACAAATTATTTAGAAAAATATTACAACGTACGGTCAAGACACTACATTTATATTTATTTCATTTTTGTATTTAATTATGGTTCAAAGTGGTTTCAACTTAAACCTGTACGATTTTATTACCTAACTGTTCAGCCATAATATTGTTTAATAAACGCTAATAAAAAACGCTGTTTTTTGATCGGCGATTCGCCATTTTTAATAAACTTATCAACGACAAAAGCACGATGTTCTCCTGACCATATCATGTTGTTTAATAAAAACGGCATGTGTCAACAAAAACAAAGCCGTGGTCCCCACTACTGTACCCCCTTCACAGCTAAAGCAACACGTCACCAAAATCGGGGAGAACTTTCTGCCGGACCCTGTATATCTGCGTTCGCTCGCCCGTTTTCACCGGTTAACAACCCATACGACGCTATCGTAAATTAAAATAACAACACCAAACTTCAATTATTATTAAACGTTTATTCGAGTATATACACAGATAATAATAACGGCTGATTTGACAATACTACTACTACTTGTCGGCGGTCCGGTGACGGCCGTATTCATGTCGCCGGCGGCGGTCACCATTGCAGATAAGCTGCGCCGGGGTTTTGGTTAATGGGCAGTTAGGGAAGCACGACCTGGCCGGGTATTGTCATCGCGGTCCGGGTAATAGTCCAGATTTTTGGTTCTTTTTCCAAAATTGTGTTGTTAAATATTAATGTCTAATAAAATTCAAAATCTCCAACCCCCTCTTGGGAGGGGGGCTGAGGGGTTGACAAAATTTGACATGACTAATAAGTGTTTTATAAAAATGTCAACCTGATCGAACCATTTTCCGCCAAGTCATGGCAAATCGAGGTTGATTGAAAAACCGGACAAATTTTTTATCGGTTTTCCCCGGTTTTGGCGTTGAACTTGGCAAAGAATTGTTGACTTATTTTACTTTTTACCCACCAATGTACCAATCATATACAATTTCGGATCTAAAGTGGTGACTAGAGTTCAGACACACAAAAAAACATCTAGTTCAAAAAAAAAAAAAAAAAAAAACTAAAATCTTCATAGCTAGAACCTTAGACCACTCTATTCGAGTATTCGTTGAACTCTGAACGCCCATTCAATCCAGCATTAGTATATTATCAAGTTTTTATACTCTATTATTTAATCACAAACCATATGCTGACAGTAAGATTACACGCGTTTAACGGAATTGCGATACTTCGTGTATAGCACACACGGCGATTAACGGTATTTGTTTTACTTGGCTTCGCGCGACTAACCTAACCGTGTCGCTGGATAACCTTGCTTCAATGTCATAAAGCTTAAGATAAGACATTTCTATATAAAAACGGCTGTTGTGTGTTGAAGAAAATCAATACGAATAATAGAATATAGTTTTATAATTTTTCATTGCCAACTAACGAATTTAAGTGATGCAATTACCATTATTATATTACAATCGTTACAATTAATAGTTTTTTAATTTCATGTTGTTACTTGAAAAATACAAAAACAAAATTAATAAGTATATTTGAGTTTGCAAGTATTCCGTTCATGTGTAAAATAAGATTTTTTTTTATGATATTCATATGATTGATAACTTACATAGACTTCAAATGGTAATTAATGCAAGTATTTATTTAATATTATTAAGTTCAATAACTGAATCATTTTAATAAATGTCTACACATAGTAACATACCTTGGATATTATATATTAATTATTTATTTATTTAAACTGTTTGTTAAAAAAAACATAAGCTGTAATAAGCTGATTACATTTTACATTTTGTTTTAAATATAAGTAAACGAGGATTAACAAAGGTTTGCTTTACGTTGACTAGCAATAACTTTGGAATGAATATAAAAAAAAAAATGTTTAACTACTATAGTACAACATTATTCAAAATATATTTTTTTTAACTGAGTTAACTTAACTATCATTAAGTTATAAAATAAGTAATAAAGTTAACCCACTTAAAATATTTAATTAACTTAATTTACTTTCTTTAACCTACTTTTAAATAAGTATACACTATAACTATGTTTATGTATGCAGATTTTTCGAATTTTTTCCTTTTTACGTGTAAATTTTGTTTATAATAAAGAACGAAGGATAAGTTAAACCTGATTTTAAAGTTATTTACACAACTTTCATTTACCTCATTCAAAAAATTAAAAATAAAGAAAAAAATAACTTTCTCACTTTTGTAAGAAACGATATAATGCAAAGTGAAAAATTAAACGCTTTCTACTATCACTATAAAAATAGTTCTAAAAAGTCTGATAATATATAGGTTAAAATGATGACAGGCTACATTTAACAGTTATTTTGCATTTAGATGATCGTTTCGTGGTTATGCATCGCTTTAATGTTGTTTTTGAATTTTGGATCGTTTGCGTCGAAAGTGAAAATTGAAAATGGAATGATAAGAGGACAAACGCTGCGATCCAGAGACGGTCGAGTTTATTTGTCTTTTACCGGTATACCATACGCAAAGCCACCAGTCGGTGAATTAAGATTTAAGGTGAACGTCGGATTATCATTTGCTATGAAATGTTTTAAACTTGGTAAATGGACGGCGCGTTGAGAGAAAAATAATAGACTTTTTAAGTGGATAGCGCCGTCCACGGACTTTAGTGAAGTCACCGATTTATCCTATCTGGTTTTAGGCTCCGGAACCAGCCAACCCGTGGGACCATGTATTGGACGCTACGCAAGTGCCAAAAATATGTGTCCAACTTGATGCAGACGTAAGCGACGAAGACTGTTTGTACTTGAACGTGTACACTCCGAAGACAGGCAAAAAGAAGTTGCCGGTTATGTTTTGGATTCACGGGGGAGGATATCAAACGGGGCATGGTGGTCCTTCGTTATTCGGGCCGGAGTATTTTATGGACAAAGACGTGGTGATAGTAACAGTGAACTACAGAATTGGTGCACTAGGTCAGCTGTTATTAAGTCAAACTTGGATTTTAACTATTAATTAATTCTACGATACGCACTTTGTAGTCACTCGTTATATACTTAGAACAAATAAGAAAAATAATAGACAATCGTCAAACATTATAATAATACGATCCACTTTAGAATTTCAATTGCAACTGTCAGGCGTAGTTGAAATTTCTTAATATCAAATCCTCTATTTTGCTTTCGAAAAAAACTTTTTTAGTAATTGCTATCAAATAAGTTTCAAATTCTCGTTTTTTTTTGTGCGTCACATATTTAGACTCATCAATAAAGATATTTTCCCTGTAAATAACATGATCTTGGTCAATAGGTAAACTTATAACTTCTATTCACGTATTTCCTATTTTGCCCCACTAATTTTTCGACATTCTATTACGCAATTTATGTAAAATGACCAAAATCGATTTACCATTTGACGTCCACCCCAAATAAGTTCACTATAATGTAATATTATTATTTTTTTATTCGCATGGTAGTTTTTTCAATGTATTATTATAGTAAGTAATATCGTAGTAAAATACATTTGTAGGATTCTTAAGTTTCGAAGACGAGGTATTGCCGGGCAACTACGGAATGAAAGACCAAGTAATGGCCTTGAGATGGGTAAAAGACAACATTCGTTGGTTTAACGGCGACCCTAGTCAAGTGACGATTTTCGGCGGCAGTGCTGGAGGCAGTTGTTCGGGCTTGCACTTGTTGTCGCCGATGAGCAAAGGTCTCTTCCATAAAGCTATACTCCAAAGCGGATCGCCACTATGTCCGTGGGCCGTGGCCCCGCCTGGAAAAATGCGCGAGTATACTCAAGCTCTAACCACAATCACAGGATGTCAACACAACAGTTCAGCAGAAATCTTGCAGTGTCTCAGAAATCTACCGGCCAGTGATTTTATTCAATCTCAGCTAAAACTTTTGGTATGCTATACTACGTATTGACTCCATAAAGAATTGGTCAGTGCTTGAAGTTGGGAAAGAGGACATTGGCTCATATCATCCTGACGCAATATGGGGGTTGCCTTAATTACTTTTTAAAATTAATACATTACAATATCAACGCTCAATTATGTTGTTTAAAACAACGTGATCCCAATTTAAAATTTTTCAGAAGAAACTTGAAGTACGGGTATAATAGTAGGCGCTTGGGGTTAACGCAGCTCAGAGCTAAAAATGCAAGGTCAATTGGTTCATTTGTTGATAATTTCTTAAGCAAAGACGAAACCTTCCAAGTTAAATGTACTGATTTTTTTAAATATCTTCTCTCAAGTTTTTGGCCCATTTCAAGTACTGACCTACGGTTTATGACAACGGCGACCGTGTCAATAATATATTTCAGGGTTGGAAAAGTTTCCCTTTGATAATTTTTAGTCCTGTGGCGGAACGATGTAATTCGAAACAGCAACAGTTTCTTTGTCATCATCCGTTGGAAAAATTAGAAATCGTATCTCCCGTGCCTGTCATCGTCGGCTTAAACACCCACGAAGGGGGGTTGGTAGCTACTTGTAAGTTAAACTTATCGTCAAGTATCAACCAAAGTAACCAGATTTGACTTCAAATTTCACGCTGGATCGTTTTGTGTATTATAGCATTGTATAATCACACGTCCATGTTGTATCCCGAACTGGAGAGCGATTTCAACAGGTTATTATCGACGATGGTTTTCTTCAATGGTTACACCACACTGAAAGGTGTTGAGGAAATCGGCAAACGCGTTAAGGACCGTTATTTTTTATCCGGAAAATTGGAAGACAACTCTCATTCTCAGGCGGTCGAAGTAAATCATTTTGACTTGAGTTATTGAAAGTGATTCAGTTTTATTCGTGTATTTCTGTTTGTATTATATTTAATATAAGATGTTTGGTGACGCTATCTTTAATCATTGTGTGATGGATATGGCTTTAAGATGGTCGTCGCCGTTATACTTCTATCAGTACGGTTATCAAAATGAATTTTCCTACAACACGCTGTACGGAAGTTGCGGCAGACCTTTGGGGGTCACCCACGGTGACGAGCTGAATAGTTTGTTCAAGGGAGATGCACTGAATCCCAAAGATCTCAACGAACAAGACACTAAAGTGTCAAGGTTGATGATTAACATTTGGACCCGATTCGCTACTATCCGGTGTGTGATATTTACTAACTTAATAGATCCTAAAAATGTTAACTGAGATTAAAGTTAACATCTGTGAGATTAACATTTGGTATTATAATATGTTTTTCCATTTTAGTGAACCGACTATCGATGGGACAGAAAGCGGACCTCTCTGGCCGGTTTTCAATGCACACCAAGACACGCTACTTCGTGTGGCTTCAGATAAACCTATCTTGACAAGAAATCCCGCACTAAAAGACATGTATGATTTCTGGAAAAGTCTACCGCTTTTACGTCGGTTAAACATAAGCGATAAGTCTAAAAGTAGGTAAAAAAAAACGAGAAAACGTGAATCGGTAAAATTACCATTTTTTTAAACTAATTTATATTAAGTTAATTAAAAAAAAATCAAACTTTTTAAGTTGAAAATTAGTAATTTCAATTAAAAGTTAACTAGAAAGTATAATTATTTAAAAAAACATAAAATACTAATTCAATATACCTTTTCAATATGTTTTACTATTTTCGTTTACTAAAAAAACAGAATTACTCTTTGTTACGATTTCTTAGAGATATTTTTCATTTATAAAACACCCGCAGCCGCAAGGGGTAGTAAGTACAGGAAACAAGTATAGGTATTATTAATACAGATAATATGACATGTTAACGTTATTTTGTGATAAAATATTAACTCGTTAAGTTAAGTGTTTCAGGAAAAAGTATTTATAATGCAATGCCTAGCCTTACAAAATAATATAAAAGAACTTGCTTGATTGAAATTATTTTTTAATTTTTGATACAAAATAAGTAAATAATTTCTTCCATGTCATTTAAAAAAGTTAATATAGTCGTTATTTCTAAACTATGTATTGAGCGTTATACTTAGAATAATGAAAAAATCGCACCGTCTTACCCTCCGGAATATTGTTCTCTTTTAATTTTATAATGGGTGCTTTTACTCTAAAACCAAAATTAAGCGAGTTATTTTCAGTCTGCTTAAACATGTAGAGATGAAAAAATATTTTTGAATCGCTTTCAAGGATGCTGTTTAGTCCAAAAAATAAATTAACTACCAAAATAGAGTTTTAGTTATTGAACTAATAATTACACATCACAGTTTAACCTTTAAATTTAGATTTTGTAAAAAATTACCTATACTTTACTCCTTAAAAATGGGTGGTGCGACGCCGTCTTTAGACGCACCTTGTATTATAATATTATAGGCACTTATTATACAGCTATCTTCTTAGCTACATTAATAAGTAAACAATAAACATAAAAATATATGGCGTATTAATATACCTCTTATCGCAATACTCATAATAAGTCAACTATTTCATAAAATATATGTTTCATGGCCACTCTAGCATGCTATTAGATTTATCATTAACCTTCCAATGTTATCATTAAAACAAATATATATATAATGAACTAGAATAGATAGTAAGGTTGTACACTTGTTGTCGGTCGTAAAAATACACGTTATTTTTTTATTAAACGATCATAATTCGATAAAGTTTTTTTTATTACAATTTAAAGATAAAAAATATATATTTTAAATTAACTATACCACAATAGTACCACTTGATATTTTTAATTGTTATAATGTAATTAGATTAATAATAAGAAACGCTTAACGCTCGGCAAGTTAACTGATGACAGCTGGTACTAAACGGTTTGGAAATACAGACTAAGTACAAATAATAATTATGATGCACTATTATTATAACAAGGTAATTTAAACGTACATTTTAAATTGAATTAACAAAAAATTACTTATATTTATATACTCTTAGTATAAGAGTATATAAATATACTCTATGTTGGGTCTAAGTTGACCCAATATTTAGTCAAAGCGATTGAATATTTATTTTTTAGTTAATTTACACAATGATTTTCCTAGAATGGTAACTATGTGACAATTAGTATGTAAAATGTTAGTTATATCACAATTGTATAAAACAGTAACTAACAATATAATACACTCGTAAAAAATAATGTACTATACATATTGAGCATGTAAATCATTTTTAATTTTAATTTTAAATTAATATGTTTTATGTGCAAATCAAAAATCAAAATGTTTTTATTTTATTTCTGCACTAATTCTGAGATCGGAAAATAAAATAAAATAAAAAGCTCAATTTGTAATACATTTTTAAAATCTATTCAATCGTTTAGAGCACGATAAAAAACATACTAAACAGTATTTTTTTATAACTTTGGAGGTAATTTAAAAATAACTAGACGTTCAAGGAAAAATCTAAAAGATTCAGATTGAGCAAAAAAAAATTTAATAATAAATATATTTGATTTTTGTTTACAAAAAAGTAAAATTATATCGTATGGTGTGATGATGAAAATCGATAATAATTTATTTTCATTATTGATTAAATAGAAATGTCTAAACATGTATTTAATGGATTCAAAATAAAAAAAGGGTCATACTTATTTGCGTTTTAGTTTTGTAATATAATTTAAAAACATGACTTCTTCATACAAAATATCAACTAAAAAGCTCAAGGCCCCTGGATACCGACCATTTTTAAGGAGTTTTTTATAGGCAATGTTTAAGAAAAAAGTGGTTTTAAAAAATTTAAACCATGTCAATTAAATTACCGGTTAATTTGTATAAGCTTCGTGGTATTATTTTTAATTCTAAATCATTTTGTCTATGAGTAAAAGCCATTTTAGTTAATGATATAATAGTACATTTTTTTGTCCATTGCACAGGCTGAACCAGTGATCCGATAAGTAATCTGAAAACAAATTTAAATTCCTCATGAAGTTTACTTGAGATCGGTCAGCGTACTTTTTTGATATCTTATTTCTACTACGCATAAAACACACGTTTGAACATTTTATAAAATTTCAAATTTTAAAATCGAATTTGGTAAGGGTTAAGTTTAAGTTTTTTTAAAATACTCTAACCGATCACAAGTAAACTTTATGACAAATTCATATCTGTTTTTAGATTGCTCATCGGATCACTGGTTCGGCCTGTGCGATGGACAAATAATGATGTGTTTTGGCTAAAAAAACGTTCGGTATCCAGGGGCCTTAATATTAGAGATAATTCATAGAAATGAGTAAAATAGATAAAAATTCCTTAATCGATTACAAAGGTATTGCGGTTTACTTATAATCCGGGATTAATAAAAAATATTGGATTTATTTACATTTATTCCAATAATCCAGCATTGTGGATTACGGATTTTTTTTATTCCAGTTCAACATTATGAGTTACTAGATTAGTTGTATTCCAATAATCTTAAACATTTTTTTTTAAGTAACAATTTTATAGGCTTAAATTAAAAATGTATTTTAATATTTTTTTACTTTGCTGAGCTGGGAGGTATTTTTGATTAGTTAATAACAAAACAGATTGTTACAATTATGAATAATTTCCTCATTAGTTTGATAATGGTTCATTCATTTAAAGATATATTTAAAAAAAAATTAGATTTAAACAATAAAATCCTGCGTCACCCAGGATGTTCAAGAACGTTAAGTTCGTACAAACTACAACACGTGTATAATACAAATTAATCTTTACTTCAAAATATTCTAGAGTGTATAAACTGGAATTACTTTTTATCTGCTTTTATTAAGTATCCCTATTTTCTGGATTGACGACATATTTGTAATCCGCCACTAGATTAATGGATTATTTTTAACCCTGTAATCCTCTTACTTTGATTAACTAAAAAAATAATCCGTGTAATCCTGGATTAATAATTCCAGGCGCGTAGCCAGGAATTCCAAAGGGGGAGTGTTATCTAAAATATTTACTTCAAGTATAACTTAGCAAAATTTTATATTTTTTCGTCTAAAATAATTGCAATACAATATAGATCATATGTTATCTAAGGAATACATATAATGCAGCTACACAGCTATTATTTATTTACTAAATAACAATCAATAATATAGATTGTAGGAATGTGAAATCATAACACAGCCGAGGGGGGTGTTACAACACCATAACACCCCCCTCTCTACGCGCCTGAATAATTCTGTCCATTTCTAATACTATATATATGTTTATATAATGAAAAAGAATTCCTAAAATAAATATTTAATCTGTGCGAACTTGACCAAATTACTCCAAATTTGGGTAAACTTATTTTTATACTATAGAGATGAATTCAGAGAGTAAGAAAAAACCATTGTGTGTAATATTTTTATCACGTATCCAAATTAGATGGGTTTGTCTTTTATGTTTAGCTTTACCTTAATTGGTTATGCGTGATCGCTATGCTATTTATTGATTTAGTATACGGCGATTCATTGGAAATACAGACCAAAAAAGGAACTCTGAAGGGACAACAGTTGACATCACGAGATGGACGGCTGTACAACGCGTTTACCGGCATCCCTTATGCAAAGCCGCCTGTCGGTGCACTCCGATTTATGGTAAATTACACCAATAAGTAATATATCATTGATTTAATATTACGCCGATGAGCCACGCCATAGGCGTTTACCAGGATTAAAAACAAATGTTCTAACCACCCGGAGCAGTGGTCAGAAGCATTTTTGTTTTAGTTCCTGAAAGTTTTCTTAGCTTTGCTTATTAAATCAATAGTATAATATAAAAATGATTGGCATTTTATCGGTGTTTTACTTAATGGTTGTGTTCAAAGTTTCCAAAAATGTATTTTCCCAGGCTCCGGAAGAAGCTGAGCCTTGGAATGATACGTTGGACGCTACGGTCGAAGCCAATGCGTGTATTCAAAAAAAACTACCCAACAGCCAAGAAGACTGTTTATATTTGAACGTTTACACGCCTAAGGTTGAAGGGTCGACGCCAGTAATGTTTTGGATTCACGGTGGAGCTTTCTCCTCGGGTAGTGGTAGTATGGACATGTTCGGGCCGGATTACTTTATGGACAAAGACGTGGTAATAGTAACCATAAACTACCGGCTAGGCGTCTTAGGTAGGTAGAATATTAATATACTCATAAACCATAATAATAAAACATCCTGAGTGGCGTACATTCACGGAAGATTCCTGGATAAATCCATCTAGAACAAAAATAAGGATTCATGAGAGATAGTTATAATTTATTTGAATTCATTTTATTTTGTATATTTTGCAATAACTACCTATAAAGAAATACCAAATATATGTACAAAGAGCCAACCTCTTTTTTTTTATTAATATTTTATTCCTTAGTACCATTCAGGAACTATTTAACAACTAGTCAAATCACCTCGCCTTCAAATCTCTATATCATCCGCCATTTGAAAAATTATCCTAGTTTACTCCACATGTTTCCATGTCTTTATTCATAATATCCACTAATTGTTTTGTCTACCCTCGTTTTTTTATTTTAATTATTCATTTAAAAATAATCCCGTCTCTCGCATATACCCGTTTTCACTAAATTTCTATATTTCTCCTACTTTTGACACGCCTAAACCATCTCAATCGAAATTAATTTACGCAGTTTGATCATAATATTAGACATTGTTATTATGATAACGACTAGAATTAAATTAGTATTTTTTTTTTAAACGCTATACAGGTTATATGAGTACCGAAGACGACGTAATCCCGGGAAACTTCGGAATGAAAGACCAAGTAATGGCGTTGCGATGGGTCCAAGAAAATATAGCCCAGTTCGGTGGAGATCCTAATCAAGTGACAATTTTCGGCGCAAGTACCGGTGGAGTTTCGGTGGGCTATCACTTATTATCGCCGATGAGCAAAGGTCTATTTAACAAGGCCATAATGCAAAGCGGAAATCCACTATGTCTTTTTGGTGCGACCATGCCTGGCCTGGCACGTCAAAGGGCAGAGACTGTATTGAAAAAAGCACAATGTGACGCACACAACGCCGAAGATACGTTAAGGTGTCTTCGAAAACTTCCGGCTAATTTCTTTACCGAAGTTGCGCAAACGTTTAGAGTAAGCCGGAAATATTTTTTTTGAATTCGTTATATTTTATGTGTTTAGCAATTAGCCAATATCTTTTAGTACCTACTGTTTTTCACGAAGCGAATGTTTTAATAATGAAACTCACCCATTTCGTGTAATTGTAACAAATAATGATACATTAAATAGTATATATATATTTCATTAAGTGTTTATGTCAAGCGAGGAATTACTTAAAAGTGTAAATATTTAAGAATTTGAGGAAAAAATTCCACAATGTCTTCAATGATGTTCTACAATAATGTATATTTATATTTAAAATGTTAACGATTTTAAAATCTTAAATAATAACAGGAATTTCGCCATTATCCGACTACAGTGTTCACGCCTGTTTCCGAAAGATGTGATTCAGACGGTAATGCGTTTTTATGTCGCCATCAAATGTTAGATTTTAAACAAGAATCGTTTGTGCCGGTTTTAATGGGTTATAACTCTGGTGAAGGTGGAATGATCGCTGCAGGTATGTTCACTTGTACTTTTCTTGCTGTTTTGAGTTGACATTAACATGGTCTTCTCTTAACTGTTTAGACATATACAACGAGACTTCAGTAATGTATCAGGAAATTCAAAAGAATTTTAGTAATTTAAATTCTGTCATGATGAATTATAAGCAATATACAGAACATCAGGATTTGGAAGTTATCGGCCAACGGTTGCTGAAGCATTATTATCCAAATGGAAAAATAGAGGACCACACCCACTCACACACTGTAGAAGTAACGTTATTTGATTTCGACAGTTGACATTACTCATTAGACTTTTAATCCAAAATTAATGATCATATATTATTATGTGATGAAAATCGGTTGATTTTTCTTATTAAATTCATAGATTTCTTCAGGAAAAAAAGAGAAGAAAAGGAAAGATAAATACTTAATAGTACTAATGCATATTACAATAAATAATTAAGGGTGATCCATTTTATGTAAAACACTGATTTCTCGGAAAATATGAATATTTTTAAAATTATTTTTTCCCCTTTTTTCCTTTCATTCTGGAAAACCGAAGGACATGTGACAATTATAAGGGGAAATGTAATATATTTGCAAAGTCATAGCAAACAAACAGATTGATGCAAATTAAAAATTCAAACGCTAACATTATCTGAAAAAATATTTCTACATATTTATGGTATTAAAAACGTGTGTTGTCATTTTGAAAAAAGGAATTTCACACTTATTTTACTTATAAAGAATGAAGGTAAACATTTAATAATTACAAAAAAAATGTAGTAGAGACTAAACTGTGTACCTAAAAGTATAGAAAAAAAAATAATTTTCAAAATATTCTTGTGAGTGGCTTACATCAGAGGGATCACTAGGTATAAAATATATACGATAAAAATGTATGTTTACGTATTATATATTATATTACATGTGTTTAAATTTTTGTTTACAGGTAAGCATGGTAAATAACCTTTTTTTACAGAATCAACATACAAAAAAGAATTAAATAAAAGTTGCTGTAAAGTGGTTTACCTTACAGCAATTTTTTTTTAAATCTTTTTTTAATTTTAATTTTGTAAAACAGGTTATATACCATAGTTTCTTATAAATAAAAGACTTCTTTTCTGTAAATACATTTATCCGAAGTTTTTTAATAAACCTTTTGTGCATTTACATGTTGGAAAACTCGTGTTTCAATTTTTGTGCTGTTAGGTGATTTTACCTTTGGACCCATGATAGGCAAATTAAATGATAGTATCTGCCTTTTGCATTTTGTCATTAGTTGAAAATTATAATTAGAAAATAAATATTTTTTTTTAGTTGTATGGATAAGTATCTGTAAAATTAAATGCGTTTTGGTACATTTCATGCATTTAAACAATGTTGTAGATGGTGACTGACGGAAGTTTTCTCCGATGCCATCATTCAATGGCCAATCAATTGGCATCACCGGTGTATTTTTATATGTATAGTTATCAAAATGAATTTTCATTCAATAAACTATACGGAGAATGTAGAAAATCATTGGGAGTCACGCACGGTGATGAACTTAACAGTTTATTCAAAATGAAAAAACTGAATTCAACCCCATTAAACAAACGTGACAGCCAAGTGTCGAGGCTGATGATCGATATTTGGACCAAGTTTGCTTCATCCAGGTACGTAACGGTAACAACAAATTTACCTGTATGTTTTTAAAAACAATTTTAATTACATTATTTTAGTTTTGTTAATTTATTATTCCTCCGTACAAATACTTATTAATTTGTATCTTTTATTTAAGCGAGCCTACTGTTGACGGAACAAACAACACTTCAGTCTGGCCGATATTCCATTCGACTAAAAAGAAAAAGTTACTTTTAATCGATTCGGACAAACCGAAATTGATTGAAAATAGTTTTGAAAATAAATATAATTTTTGGAATACACTTCCGATACTTAACAAACTTCGAAAAGAAAATCTCTCATCAGTCAAAAAAATTGAACTTTAATTATGAACGTAGTTGTTGTATACATTTTTAATTGTACAATATTGTAAACCCCAGGGTGACGTGTATAATATTTAATTCCAGTGGTTGAATAGGTATCTATGTATTTGCTATTTATTAGGTATATAATAAATAAGTATATAGTACAGTTTATTTATTATTTTTAGATTATATTTTGTTGTAATTTAAACTTTTATTTTTATATCCAAAAACGATTAACACCAAATGGTTTCAATCTGAATGCGCTTATTGTAAGTTCATTGATCCATTACTAAAAATTAAGTTTTAAGCATTTTTTTTCTGGATCCAAACCTGGTCTCCGATTTATTTTAGTATGACATATAGTACTACCGATAAACAATGACAAACCAAAAAAATATCATAAACCCTTTGCCCCTAGTAGGAGAATTTTCTCTTTATTTCACTTTATCAAGCAGTTTTAGGAATTAAGGTCTGATAATTAGACCGAAGGTATATCTAGAATGGAACTGTAACATATATAAATTATTACATTTACTAGATTGATGCGATACTCTAGTTACGCATGTTATTTTAATATTTTTTATAATATAATGCTTTATACATAGTATTAACATATAGTTTAAATTTAATACAATATGAATAAATTGGATTAACATTAAATATAATCATAGTTACATGTATTGTAAGATTTGTATAGATGGCACATGAGTAGTTAGTACATGGTATAGGAGTAGAATACTTATTCGTTATAAAAAAAAATTGTCTCTTTTATACATTTTTTTTTTTGTTCTTAAACTTAACTGTGCAATAACAGTTAAGTAAAATAGTATTGAAATCTATAAAGACATATATTTTCCTTCTTTTTTTTTTTTTATTACTGTTCAGATTATAGAATAAGTTTAGCTAATCTTAATTATAAATGCCACTAATGTTATTAAAATTATATGTTTTTAATTTTGAGCTGGGGTTGGGCGCACTACAGCGATAGGTTTAGGTTTTAATATTTGAATATCAGAAATTACGGGGACAATTGGTGGTATATTATTTTGTGGTTGATATTTAATTTGTCGTCTGGAAAACTAAACAACGCATGAGGATTGTAGATACCGGTTGTTAATGATAATAAGGCTAAATGTGTGGTTCCAGTATTTGTACCGACTAAGTAGTATACTGCTGACATCAGTCGGGTTTCAAAGTCACGTAGTTCAGCAACTGTTATTACAAACCTATGAATTAAAACCACAATTATTTTATACATGATTGTGCACGTTTTTGTTGAACATTGATTGACCATGTTTGATATTTTAAGATATTAAACAATATCTTAAGACAAAAGTTCATTAGGTTTATACCAAGTAATTGAAAACTTATTTTTTTAGTCCAAACACAACATTAACCAGCACAAAATATGAATCTATATTTTTTAAATTTGAATAATGTAAATATGATAGTGAACACACCGTTATCAATTTAACTTTGTTTTCGCCATGAATAATATGGTTTGTTTTTCCATGAGTTCCAAGTCTCATCTTCTTCGGATTTGTGATACCCCATAAGTTAAGTGAGAATTTTTGCATTTTTCACTTATCACAATATCACCTGAAAAAAAATTCTCGACTACCGATTTAAACTTTGATGTTCAATATTTAATTTACATAAAAAACTTGTCGGATAATAAAGTTCAAAATGAAATTACCAGAATCAATACTTAATCCTGAAAAATATGGACCCGGCAGTAAGTAACAATGGATATTATTAGACTTGAAACAATAATAATTCATTATATATCATTTGTATAGTCAAGGGCATGTTAAGACAGGGCTTGCACGAAATGCCATTGATTATGTTAAGTTTACCTTTTTGCGTTTTTGGAACGGGCCTCATCTTGTACCAAACGTACCAATATAATAAGAGAGATGGAATGAATAAGAAATACAAGTTGGAGTATACTCGTAAGTATTATTGCAATTTGCAATTTCAACGTTTTATTTTACTTTATGGCACTTAAAAACCAATGCCTCAACAACATTAATATTATTGTTCTATAACTTATGTTCTAATATTTTTTTTTCAGTTTACCGACCCGACGATCCCAGAGTAAAATTCATCAAAGATTAAACATCTACCTTTTTTTACTGTAAAAATCAGCGATATCTAACAATAATGTAGTATATTAAAGAGACAAAGTGATTGTAAAGATAAATATCTAATATTCAATAAAAAATTTTACAACAAATAATTACAATGCTAATATTAACTATCTGTTTGATTTTTGAAATAATTTGGTTGATAAGTTGCATATTTTGTATAATCTGCTTGAGCGACATTGTCACGTCCCGATCGGACCTCTAATGATAGAGTAGTATTAATGTTTTTGTCATCTCGTTGTAGTGCCAACTAAAGAAAGTAAATATGTAAAATATATGATTATAATTAAATTTTGAATCAAATAATTTCTACAAACCTTCATAAGTGGTGGCATTTCAAATAATCCTGGAACGAGTTTTACTCGTGGTTTACAGTTAGCCAATCGATCCCACCATAACTGTTCTTCATCTTTAGGTATCAGGCGATAATCTGGTTTGTATGAGACACTATATATTTCTATAGGTTCTGTGTAACGTTTTCCACGGAATATTCTTTCAGCATGAACAATCATTTTTCTAAGAGAATCTCCCTATAAATAATGAGATAACGTTTGCATGTAAAAAAAATCATTTTTAACAGTTGTCGGTGATTTTACTATTTGTTAAGGTCTGTAATATTAATATTCTAAATGGTAAAATGTACTCTTACTTAATCAAAACCCAAATAAAGTTCTCCCTTACAACATAATGTGGATAACATTAAAAAGTTGTTCACCATCTGAACACCCAATATTATTTGGTAACAAAAAATTGTAATTTTTATATTCTAAAAATTAAATAATTTACTTAATTATTAAATAAAATAAAAACTAAAAAGCTTAAAAATGTATGTTTGGGTATGTTAATTTTTAAATGTATTGAAATTACTGTTACTAGAAATTAAATTACTTTAAGGTTACTTAATTAATATAATTGTAACAAATTGCTGTTCCCTTTTTCCAAAAAAGTTATAAAATTACTTTATTGTGGTTTTTTAAAGAAACTGCATTTTTGTTAAGTAGTTAATATTAAAGAGTTAAGGCTGATGTTAATAAAAATTAAAAACTTCAGTACTTAACATGAAACTAAAATATTTTTCTTATTTAATTTTAAAATAATAACTTATTTTTATTTAATTTAACAAGAAATTTTGTAATGCGCGATTTGTTTCACGTACACATAACGTAATGGAAATGTTTTATGTGTTGCAAAAATGTTACGTCGTTACATTTTAATATTACATTTAATACACAGTATTACATACTTTGTTACTTTTATTATGTTACAACTATTTTATGTGATATAAGGTCTTCAGGTACTCTACCAGATATCACCTGGTTAAGATAATATAAGTAGCTATAACTATTGATGAGAAATGTTCATAACATTTTTGACTACAGACTTGTCATCAGCATAAAAACTATAATTTTGTAAATATACATTGCAAAAAAATCTATGTTCGTTAAAGTAAATATATACTATTTTTATCTAAAGAGACATTTTAAGTTTTACCCCAGTAGTACTATTAAGGCTATTTATAATAAATGGTAGAAACGCAATTTAAGTAAGTTAAATACGTTACAATTTGAGCGGTGGGTTGGACGTCGAGCACTCTGATGAAACTGGGTTCATCATACCGATCTAGGCTGTTTCTCGTTATTAAACGACCGATCCCGCCGTTCTTCAGATTACCACAAATCTCCCACAGCGTCTTGCCGGCGATGTTCGTGGTCCTGCCTATTAATTTGGGCGGCATATTTTATTTCAAAACTTCAAGGCCAATTTTTAATTTTCACTTAAATAAAGGTAGTACAACAGCAGGACGCAGGTTGTAGCAGGGACTCTAATATTCTTGGACGGTCACTTATCAGTCAACACACAACCAGCTGCAATGTCTGGGAAACTTATGCCGGGCTTATCAGTTAACGCTTATCAGCCGAGTCTTCCAGTGCGGGTTTCTCTCCACTTGGACTGATACCGACCAGATGGGACTTGCGGCGTTGTCATCGTTGCCACACTGTACCCGCGCCCTTATCAGTCCCCCACCGCCATCGCGCTAACGTTTTACGTGTTTTCAGTATTTTGCTCTCGAAGTTCGTCGTGTAATGTCCCTGCGAAGTGCGAGTTGAGGTACGCCTTTTTTTTCCCCGAGTGCACAGTGATGACATCGTGCAACAGGTGTTTGTGAACCGGTGAGCTGCTGTTGGACGGCCGACGAAACCTACTTGGCGGTGGTAATGACAGGGTCAGCCGGCGGTTTACGTCCGGAACTTACTAGCTGATCCGACGATGGCCAAACTGGAGATCAAAAGCAAAGTATGTGCGCTTCTCCACCGTACACCACTTGCGTTCTGATCGTTAATCATTTTTTACATTGGTTACAGTTTGACGCCGAGTTCCGTCGCATATCGTTGCCTAAGACGGATGTCGGCACTTACGAGCACTTCAGGAGTCTGGTCGAGCGCCTACACAAGCTGGTCGAAGTACCGTTTGTCTTGTCCTACACGGATCCAAAAGATGGTGATTTACTACCGATAAACAACGACGACAATCTTGGACGAGCAGTGCTGACGGCTAAACCGCTGTTGAGGATAATCATACAGCGCAAAGGTTCGTTTTTTAAAACATATTCAACTTTGAATAACGTTATTATAATGTCACACTATTTTCCTGATTTAAACCTCAGTTGTATTCTATTAAAACTTGATTCAGTTGAACTGCTGAAACCTTTTTTGTGTAGTTTCTTTCAACCATTGCTTTAAAGATATACTTTGAATCTTTGATTTTCCTTTGTAGCACAAGTATGTCAAACTATAGTTTGTACAATTAATCTGAAACAAATATTTTGAATTGCTAATAATGGCCTTTAAACAAATTTAAACTGTGTTAACATATTGATCTAAATACCAAATTAGTTGCTTTCAAAAGTCTTAATGTGATAAATGATTAATAACTACACTATATATACGTCAATTTATTTATATTTATTTAAATGTTAACACGTCTAGGTGTTACACAAAAATTATTTTTTCTCAAAGAACTATATTGCTTAAAAAAAAAATCTCACCACATTAAAAATAATTATTAGGAGTGCAATCTTTAGAAAATTGTAATAGTAATTAAAGCAATTAAAAAAAAAATTTCATTAGGTGACACAATTTATAAATTACTTTGATCTATTATGACAAGGTTATACACTTTTGACTATGATAATGTACATTTATTTATTTGTGACCGATGCATACACTAATAATGTGCTAATATAATTAGCATTTTGTAAGCGTTACATATAAAAACTAGGTATACCTATTATCTCTTGAGGGTTTTTAAATTATAAGGATAACCGGTAGAATTTTTATATTTTACGGTTGTATTTAAATAATTAATTGGTGATTTATTAATTACTTGATGTGTACTAAGCCATTCTGCTTTTAATGCCATAAGGAAAATGAAGTTTTAAAATGTGAATATTTTAATATGGTGATACAAGACTTAATAATTGAATTCATAAAGTAATTAAATTATGTATCTATTTTACACAAATTCTTATATGAACGTCAAAACTTTATGTGTTTTAACGATTTTAGTTTTATAATTATTCACAATGGAATGGCTTTACTATCGTCTATTGACTGTTTAAATATGTCAAAAGAGTTAAGTTTATTAAAAACTAATTGTTTTAAATATTTTTTTATTTTGTCACCTATCAAATTTAGTTACGAGAATTTGCATGTGTAAGGTTCAGTGTACTCCAGCATCGTGTTTCAATTCCCTGATGTAGTTTCTTAGCATTACTCATGCCCGCATATTCTCTTTATTGTCTTAGATAAACAATAATTATTCATAAACAAGTGGTGTTGTTGTTCTGAGAACCATTGAATTACACCAGGCAGGTGTTGAGGCGGAGTTCCTGTTGATTTCCAGTACAAAAAGACCTAAACACAATGGCTATTTTACAATGTTCTCACACAGCTTAACTACAAAATTGGAACAAACGTGCATTATTTTTTTTCTATATAAAAAAACCTCAGTCCTAAAAGGGAAACTAGGGATTTATGTGTCATGTAGCTGATTGTGTTGTATTTGGTCCCAAATAATTTGACTAAACAATGGAATATCTTCTCCTATACTCTTAAGTATATATAAAATTTTGTTTGACTTACTTAATATACAAAGAATCAGGATTTTTATTTATTAAACACTAAAATTTTAAATTGATCGACTAGAATAGCATTGTAATTCAACTAATAGTTTTTAACAGTGTTCACAAACACTTTGGTCACTGTTCAATGATTTGAAAAATTACATCCTTTTATATTGTAGTTGACACTCATCAAAAAAGGAGAAGTAGCTATTACTATTTAGGCATTTATTGTAGTTTCTATATTGGTTCGCTTAAACCACGATGAATGTGCAAAAACCTGAGCTATTATAGCATTATTTATTTAACAAATTCAAAACCATTGATATCAAAAAAATTTGTGGGCAGCTTGTTTGTTAATTGTATGCAAATATTATGCTCAAGACGTTTTTTGTGTGGGATTAAGCTATTATGATTTTTTTTTCCCATATCGCACTATTAGAGAGGAGAATTCGCCACAGTAATGATTTTTTTTTAAATACATGTAAATGATGACTTGGGAAACCCGAAATAAAACAAATTCTTATGGTAGGTATAAGATAAACGATACAATTTCGTAAAACGTATGGATAATTAAAAGATTTAATTCGTGGTGACGAATACATTTCATTTGCTAGTACACCATGTAATTATTTAACAGGCGTTTAACAGGAATTTTAATTGGATTGAGGAAAATAAAATATTATTTAGCGCTGCCTCGCTTTCAAGGGCGATTCTCGTATAAAATTATTGTGGTACACACTTCGTCTACGAACGAGTATTGAGTTTTGTTTTCAATAATACCTAATTAAACTATACGATTATCTAATTCATTTGGATTATTTTCTAATGAAAATAATAATTATTGATTAAAAAAAAAAAAAATTGAAGTACCGATCAGTCTAATCTATACGGACGATCGTCTTATTCTTATTATTATTGTTGTTGTAATGAAAACATTTGTGTGAATGTGTATTTGTAATGAACGTCTGGCGATAAATCTGGAATGAGTCACGGCTTGTCTTGCACACCAGAAACAAACTTGATGTTGCGTCACTGCTTTAATAGTAATATAGTTATTATCGCGGTGAACACGATGACGATCTTCCACGACATTGTCTATCTTTTTATTATAATAAGCATAGGAGAGGGCAGCTTGGGTATATACTCAGTATACCAACAATTTTTATATACGATCCTTACATTGAGTTCCGCTGGACAAGCCCCCTAGGTTTTTAACGAAATTCAATTGCGTCCCTGACCATATTGACGATGAAAATCCCAGTGTTATGGTTGTTCGTTTTCCAAGATAGACACGAGTACGTCAACAAACTTGATCCTTTTGATTATTGTATACACTACGGACACTATTTATTATATTATGATTTCCTCCTCTTCCGCAGAGAAAATAAAAAACCGGAAACGCGCATTGTGTAAACAATGGGTACTGGCAAAAACCTGTTTTTAACGATCCGCACACGGGGCCTCCGAGCCAATAATATTATTGTTTGTTATCACTTATCATCGTTTTCATAAAAGGATAAAAAAAAACCACACACACGTTTGTATCTGAGCGGTCAGTAATCCGATCCGTTTAACCGTCGTCGCCCAAACGGCCAAACCCTCCCCTTTCAACCGCCTATAGAAAACGTCTGAAAATCACAGAATTACCCGTTTTGGTTTTATAAAAAAAAAAATGTTTTGTTCAATTTCGACGTCGTTTTTTAATGGCCGTCGATATGTAATAACGCTGGCGCCTGTCCCGGGTGATTGACCGATAAAAACAAACAACCCTATTATAACGAGAATTATTGTCATTATTTATTATTATTATTATAACAAATCGACCCGGTGGACTATCGACGTCTTAATCGTTGTGAAAGCGACATTATTGTTTTAATATAGTACTTAGAAATAATACGTAAAATACTCTAGTGTGTTTCAAGTGTCTAAAGAAAAAGATAAAACCCATTTAATGCTCGTGTAATTTATTTATTTGAAAAGTCGATGAATCTTGTGTTGCACAACAGTGGGGGTGAATTAAAGAGTCAAGGGGCCACTAATTTATTATTTATTAATATAGATTATTAAAATAGAATAAGTGAAAATGATCAAACAGCGCGAACACAATTAAATTTACTTGATTTAGAATTCAAATAAATACACACAATGTTATAAGAATTATAAATGAAGTAATTAGTATTTAATAGCGAAAATTAATATTTAAAATATACTCAACGATACAGAGGAAAAAATATTTGAACATAAATATGTAATATGAGATGAATATTTTTAGTAGGCCACCATTCTATTATTGGTAATTGTTAGATTTGATTATAACAAAATTGTCCTAAATTATCTATATTTTTAAAGGGTTATAGTATAAGCAATTTTTGGCACTTAAAAAAAACATATATGACGTAGTACGTCGGTTTTTTTTTGATACCGTAATTAAATTTAATTAAAAACAGAAAAAAGGGAATTATTAACAATTAATACAAATAAATCTATTTGAGATATGAACAAAATACCAACGGTAAACATTGTATGTTATTATTATTTTGTACTTATTCCAAAATTTAAAACCCTGACGACTATACTACTACAAAAAAAGTGAACGATTTAAGTAACAGCACAATCCTACAGCGGGAAGTTTCCGCTTAGAACCTGTGCCTACTACCCATTGGAAGCTTGTGTCATCTACATAATTTTATAAGTTTTTGAAACGCATTTTAGTTGTTTTAACTTATAATTAAATCGTATAGTAAGAATATAAATTGCTTATATAATGGCTTTAACCTTTTTTGTATAAGTATCGCGCTTCATTTTGATATTTTTCGTTATTATTTTTTTTTTGAAAATCAATTTCGTTTTTCCCGTTTGGTTTAAACAGGTGCGTTAGTTTTGACCCATAACATTAGATTTCTAAATAATATGAATTTTAATATTTATTTGTTAGTCTGAATCACATTTTAAACAAATATTTCATTTACTACAGTTTATAAAAACCTTAGACAATTTCCAGTTGCTATTAAACGCATTAAATTAATGGTTAAGATTATTAATTTTTGAAATTAAAAATAATTAAAAAATTAATTGAATACATACGTCATCATTTAAGTTTTGAAAGTTGCCAAAGCTCTGGAAATATAAAAAAAAAAAGGTAAATAGTTGGTAATTTTCTTATATTTTTAAATAACATGAACTACTTAACTTTTTTTGTTTAAAGTTTAAATAAATAATTTAAGAGATATTGTATGTCTTACGTTAAATAGATCACCCCGTATGCAACATTTAACTGTTGCAGTGATGAAAATGATCATATTTCATGATGTGTTATTTTTAAAGTGAAAAGTGTATTTGTCTCTCTCATTTTTCATTGGTGACTAAATTAGGTTTATACAGTATACTGTGTACTGTAGTATTTTTTAATTTTTTCTGTTACACCATTTCACTGGAGCAGTCGGTTTAATATAATATCACATTATGATACTACTAACAACAATGATATTATTATGGTCACCGGGTCTGATTAACAGCGGTGCCGGCCGGCTTCTTTGGAAACAACTTGACGATCCACTTGGGAGACGTCCAAGTCGTTAAAACGCCGGTCGGCTCAGGTAGTTTACGGTTCCAAGGCGTACTCAGTAGAAAATAAAAAAAAAACTATATTATGTGGAGAGTTGGTAGTGGGGCCGCCCGTTAGATGAGTATGTATGTACGGTGACTGTTGATGTGTGTATTCCATATCGGTATAACATCAATTATTCACCTCAAAAGTAAAAACGAAATAATAATGTTATTGATGTTTATTTATTTGAAAAAAAAACTCAACCAGATGCATGTTATCGGCAATAGAATGTGTTGCGCTACACTCGGGAGGACGTTGATTTTTTCCTCATTAGGTTTTAGACACCCGTCTGAAATCCAAAAAAACGCCGTCGAAAATCAATTTTACAAATTAGACCTGGGAAATTGAAATTTTTACTTGATAATAACAACAAAATGTACTATCTAAAAATGTATTTTTTTTTTGTAATATGTTATCACTTTAATTATTATTTAAAGTTTAACACTTCAGGATTGCTGTCGGTTTGTTATAAAATATTTCAATTTGGTTATTAATTAAACTACTCCATACAATATTTTAACATTATTGCAAGAATATAAACTTTTTAAGAAATGTTTAAACTTAAATTTTTTTTTTTTAATGAGTACCAATTATACCAAATACGTAATTATAGGACTTTTTTCGTTGTCATTCGATGTGAAGATACAGGCGACGCTGCTGACTGTGAAATTACAATATTTGATACCCAAGTCATATTCTCTTAAATTGTCTTCTTCTATTAAAAAGACGCAATACATTATGGGTTTGTTGTAAGAAATTGTTTCTATATAATAATTGAACTCCAGTGTACTTTTATATGTATAGAATGAGGATCATTAATTGGTAGTTCATTTTTTTTTCTCAGACTACCGTATTATCGTCATTATTGGTCCATCCTAAGTTGTCTGTAGCGGTCGTACAAACATTTTATTGAAACTTAAAAACCAATACTTTACTACGTCGTTTTGTTTTACCTTTTAATTAAACACGTTTTTACTAATGTAATTAAAAACCGAAAAATGTGTAGGTATTTTAAACAAATCGTAAAAAACAATCTTGTAGAGACCCACGGCGTATAAGTATGATTTTAATATTTAGATGTTTTCAACATTTTAAAACTTGGCCGACTACCAGTGAAAATAAATAGCTTGTTTTACACCTAAAATAACGGCTGTGGCCTGTGTGGTGTTTTCCTAGTGTCCTAGTGCAGACGTTGGAACCTTGGTGACGTTTACCGATTGGATTCGTTTCCGGGCTGTCGACTAATCACGAGGAAACAGTATAAGTCGAACATTAGGCATAACTATTGAATTTTTCTTTTATCTAACCATACGATTTATTTGATTTGAAAGCCGATATCGTAGCCCGTGTAAACATTCGTGTTTTTAACGCATTTTAACGATAATGTACACAGTTTAATACATTGTAAACATACACACCTATAACAAGGTGTACAATTCTAAAATTACATTGATTCGATTGTAATTATAAACACGTTGTACAGGAGGTTAAGACGGATGTGGAACAATAGTAACCTTGGTTCACACACCACAAAGCGTTTTAAAATGAGAGTCCATATAAAGTTCTATAAAGGCACATTTTACTCACTACTATACAAATTTTGTTTTGAATCGGACAGGCATTGTATACATTAAAAAAAAAAGTTCAAAACAAATTTTAGCATTAGATGTTTTCTTTTTTAAATGCAAAATTCGGATTGATAATGTGTTCGATTCAGAAAAACATATTTAATATTATAAAAAAACAATTTGTTTAGTTAAGAAAGTAACTGTGAATTTTGCTTAAAACCTTAACGGGACTGTTGTTTTAAAATAAGTTGCGGAATATTCGTGTAAATCTTAGGGGAGATTGATTTTTGATCTATATTAACAATATTTGGGGTTTATTATTTTCTCTTGTCAAAAACGTAAAAGACCCAGGGTGAAATTTTTGGCTCTTAAAATTTAAATGCGAACCTGTGAAACTGGTTATTACAACTTTGATGTCGACTGACTCATAAAGTAAAAACATTTCCATTATAATATTAACTACTAAGTAGTATTGTATTATGTTTCCATTTAATAGTAATGGGCCAAGTGGTTTAAGATAAATTGGATGAGTTATAATAATAGTAAAACTTATTGTTCACAAAAATAATATGTGCCCGTCATTCCAGGAGAAAGTCTCGAAGAGTTGAACGGCTATGGTTCGTATAGACCTCGCAATATAATATCTACTATACTAGGCGGAACTCCCAGTAAAGGAAAACATTTATGGATATCAAATCCTCAGGATTTCCGACAAGTATGGCATTTGTCAATCGATTTAATTAATGATATTTTATGTTAGTTATTAACTTTTACATTTATATATATATTTTTTTTTTTAGGTATCTGCAATTATAGATGTAGATGTAGTTCCAGAAACATGCAGGCGGGTTCGACTGCTCAAACATGGATCTGAGCGCCCATTAGGTTTTTACATCCGAGATGGTACTAGCGTTCGAGTCAGTCCTTCTGGTGTAGAAAAAGTTCCTGGCATCTTCATATCGAGGCTGGTGCCGGGAGGTCTGGCCGAAAGTACCGGCTTGTTAGCAGTCAACGATGAGGTCTTAGAAGTAAACGGCATCGAAGTGGTCGGCAAAACTTTGGACCAGGTAAAACAAAAATAATAATATTTATATCATGTTTTACCATTAACTGGTACCGTTCAATATTCTGTCAGGTAACCGACATGATGGTGGCCAACAGTCACAATTTAATTGTTACCGTAAAACCGGCCAATCAGAGGGCTACAATGTCGGCACCAAGACGAGGGTCCTTGTCGAGAACTTCGCAGTTATCTAGCGGCTCCCAGCAATCGACACATAGTGTTGCTACTACAGTTAACACTTCCGAAGAAGACGACCAAGACGAAGTAGTAGACTTAACTGCTGGACTAACGTTACAGGCAGCTAATGATTCCACTTGCACTACTATTACTACCGATCAATAATTTTATGATGTAATAAGTGGTGTGTTCTTTTCATAAATATTTTTCAAATGTGCCTTAAATTTTATAAAACCAATTTTATTGTAAAACATAATATTGGTAAGTTAAAATAACATACGTTGTAAGCATTCCGGTTATAAGAAAAATATACATTTTTGTTCAGACACTACATCAGAATATGTCTTCCAGAATTTCTATAACTATACTAAAACAGGTTTATCAATGTAGTCTTACGATACTTTAACTGTTTGCCAATTTACACAAACACAACCTTGGTCTGTATTAAAAAAAAAAAAACCATTGTATTGTACATTAAAGTTTATAAAATAGTTTACTTACGTTTGAATATCTGTTATGACAATGACAATTATAATAATTATTGTTCATATTTTTTTTATCTTAATAAGTCAAAAATTGTTGCATGTCAAATAATAGTAAATATTTTTTTTCAAATTATAGGAATCAAACGCGCACGTGTAAACAAAGTTTCTTTCTTTATTCTGATCTCAGTTGCACAGTATTTAAATTAAATGTTTGTATTATTAAAAGTAAAAATAAATTTGTGTATTTACATATGGACATCCCATTATAAAAAAACACATTTCTCGAATAAACAATTGTTTTAATTTTCTATTAAAATATTTAATTATAGAACAAGTGTTAAATAATGTTTAAACGTTTATATTTTCCTAACCGTATCAAAACAAATTAAAACGTTTTATTTAATTAAAAATTAACATACATTTTCTATGCATTTTCACCGTTTAAATCATAATGAAATAGTTTTTATTTATACACTGCACTGTAGCAATTTTGTGACTAAACATTGACAGACAGTTGGTGATGAAATAAAAATTTTGTAACCATATATTATTCTTATTATTATTGTTAATCACTACTTGATTTGTAAATTTCTTCAAAGAAATGTGATTTCACCTAGTATGCATTTCCGTCCAGTAATTATTATTATTGTTTCTTGTTTATCATTATTATAATATATTTACAATTTTTTCTACATATATTTTATATAAATTTAAAAATGTTCGTTCAAACGTATTATTAATGGAATTATTGTGTCTTAAAAAACCAAAAACAAATGTACATAAAGTAATTTATTTTGTTGCATAACTATTAAATCACATATCTATTAAACTGACATATAGTAAATTGTGTTTTGTTGTAATCTTAATAGTTTTAAATTTATATTTACCTATATGTTTTTTTTTTTACATTTAAATTTGTATTGTTACGTTATAAATTCGACCAAATTTTTCGTACTATAGACATTTTTTTTTATTATATTCTTTTAGGTTGTAGTTTATTGTATGAGATCATAGAATATAATGTAATCGGGTTCATGTGATAGAGTTTATAGTTTTTCCCCGCTGTAGTTTCCTTATTTGAGTAAACAATCGTTTGTACACAAAACTAATAATTACCTTTTATTTTTATTGAAATTTTTTAATGTTAAAGTATATTTTTGAACAATTTTCATTTGTATTTTAATTTAATAGCTAAAAAATTTAATTACTTTTTAGCCACCCAATTAAACACAAAATTAAGTTATTTTGTGTGGCCACTAGTGTCGTGTATTATTCCAATTTCCTCAAATTTTCCGGAGACTACAATGTTATAAAACAACAAGCCACCAATTGTGATATAATATATTTTCCAACCTTAAATGAAAAACACGGTATAGTTTTTTTGGTAAATGATTTATATGTGTATTGTTATATTTGTATTGAAAATTTCACACAAACGAGCTTATTTATTATTTTTGTAAAAACTTATTCAAACTGTATAAGCCATGTATTTGCCTATTTTTCTAATTACGTGCAATTGTTGTATTGTTAAATCAATGAATTTCTTAAACTCGTAAGAAAAAGAGCATTTAGCTAGTGGTAATTATAAGGCATTCGACTTACCACTAGTCTTAACTTTTAAATTGTTTTATATATTAACATTATTGACACTAAAAATGTTGCCTGTTTGTCAGTTGGCGTACATGACTTTATATCGTATTGTTTAGGTGTTTTTCTGTATGATCTCTATCAACCGAATAACTTTTTAAATTTATATTTCTTAATGTATAATATTGCAACCAGCTATTATAATATGTTGTGAAAAGTAGTTGGGGTGTATATGTACTTAAAACATAATAATATTGTCTAAGTAAACTACGGCTATAATTTTTTCTACCAAACACCTAAGTGCAGATTATCAAGTTTTATTTATTCTCTATTACTGCAATGTGAAAGAAATATTTTTTTTAATTTGTCTGTACATTCTATGTACGCAATCGAGTATATTTTATTTGTATTATTATTATTGTTGTTCCAATTTACATTTATATTAATTCTTTGAAAAATTATCATTCTATTAGCCTACACATTATGTAAAAACCAACATCTCTTTTTTTTTTCGCTCTATAAAGTACTGAGTGTCAATAAATTTATTACCTAAATCATGTATTATGTATGTATAATTATTTATTTTTATTAACGTATGTATATGTATTATTTTATGATTATCGTCGATGTTCTTATTATTATTATTGTATTATTATAGTATTATCGATATTGAATATATTATAATTTTGTCACGCTGATACCGCTCTATTGTATTATTTATTTTTATGATTCTTTTTTTGTTATTGAAATATTTTTCTACTACAATTTTCTTAAAAGTACTAGAACCAATTGGTAAATATAATCTCAAAAAGCTAAGAACTCTTATTGGTCAACAATATTATTAAGATATATTATACCCCATTTTGTATATGAAGGGCTGCGGGGAAAAACGATGATAATTACTCTCCAATTTTTTTTCTCTAAAATTTAGATTAATAAATTTTATTATTTTGTAATTAAACTTGACAATAAAGATAGTTAATGAACAATATTATTTTATGTACGTTATCTTATACTAAATCTTCGAGTCTTTTTTGAGTTTTTAAAGTTTAAAATTTCAGTACTGAAAACTTAGGGTTTATTGACTATGATCGTATTTCCCCGCAGCCCTTCATATGTTTTAGCTAGACTGGAGAAAAGGTAAAGAATAATGTGATGAGTGGTTTATAAGTAATGTATGTCTGCTTCTTTCTGTAAAAAATAATATTTGCTAGTTAAATGTCAATATTTGTTAGCCGTGTAAATACTTAAAGTCGCATGAGCTTTGTCGCAAGTCATCAGCAAATCACAGGTCAATTAGGGGCGATTGACAAGTACTATATTGAAGTTGGCCTATTCAGACTTTTTGTATATTCATGTCTACTTGAGAGATTGAACTGGAGAATTTTAAACTTCTTATCTTTCGACGACTTCAAGGCTAAAAAAGTTATAATATTTTTGGTTCTTGTGCACAGGATTTTGTATTTTTATCATAAAAAAAAATGTGTAAAAACATTGAAGGGTTGAGACATTTCAGAAATCATACTGAAGAGTGAAGATTTATCTAGATTACCGGTTTTTGCGGTTTTGAATCAAGAGCAATGAATAAATCCAATGCAATTCACGATTTTTCAAGGACATCTTATGCTTATCACTAGTTGTCTTATCACTGCAAGAAATCATAATATTAATTTATTTATGTCTTATACCCAACGTGGGTGCACGGTTATTTTAAAAATTGTTTTTTATGTCATGGCGAGCGTCTTGCTTATGAGTTATGACGATAAATCTTTCTCGAGTCTCTTCTGCCAGTTTTCTATTTTTTATTAGAAGGTCTGTGGGCTAATTGAATCTTGTTTGTTAGAGTAGTTTAAACAATTTAATCTCAACTGTTACATATTCTCTGTTGGGGGTTTTTTTTTTAAGACCGAAAACGCTCTAATTGCTTGGAAGGCGACTAATGATCAAGTGTCCACTGCTGTTGAGTCGACAGTTTTTTGTAAACTTCTGTCTACAAGACATCATGCCGTTCTACGCTGTCGTATACAGAATGTCCAAAAGCGGAGCCGTTGCATCGGATTGGTAATTGGAAATTACGTTACTATGTTATTGTAAAATTTATCATAGGTTTTGTAGTGGGTTAAGCCCAATAATGGTTAGGTTTAACCAAGTCTACTTGGTGATTGTAACATCATTTTGGGCATAAAAATATTGACTCAAATTTATATTAAACCTTTTGTCTCCTTTATTGTGAAAGGCCCACAGCACTTAGGTGGAAAGATTCGGTGTCAAATTCATATGCCAAAAAATTTGCAGACAAGTCCGAAGCCGAAGATTATATAAAAAATATGAACTTTGACATAATTGATAATATTCAACATTTTCTCGAAAATTCTTCCAACAGAGGAGTAAAGAGAAAGTTGGAAGAAGACGGATTACGAAAACATGTTCAAAATGTAATTGCCCTGTTTAAAAATATATATTTATAACTAATAAATTACGTAATATTTTCAGTTACACAAGATATTTGCAGATATGGAAACTTTCATCGCAAAAAAAAGCGAAGCTAACGGAAAATATTTGTGTCAAATAAAAGCCATTAGCGGCGATACTTTGTTGAAACTTAACAAGATTGTTGATGAATATGAAAACAATGGTGAAGAAGTTGAAGTTCCAACGCCCATCAAAAGGTCTGTATAAATAAACTACTATACTTTTGTTATGAACAGCTGTGTCTCACCTGCAATAGAATTGTCTTAATAAGTTAATTATGTAATAACAAAATTAATTTTAGCAAAATGAAAATTCAATCTGCAGGGCTTGATTTGCCAGGCTATTCCAGTGGAAATGACATGAATCTAATAGACGGGACATGTAATATAAATGTATATACCGAGTTTACTAGATAGATAGTTTAAACGGATTATAAATTACAGTAAAGCCGTTCAACTTTAACAGCAATAACGAAGTAATAGTGTACACGGATGGCGCATGTTCTAACAACGGCAAAAACAAAGCCATGGCAGGAGCTGGCGTATTTTTTTGTAAAGGTCACCCCCTGTAAGTTCATCGTAATATATATCGCCTATATTTTGTTTTGAAATAATTAATTTTTATTTAAATATTTGATTGTTTAGGAACATGTCCAAAAGAGTTCCGGGTCCACAGACAAATAACAATGCGGAAATATACTCGGCTATATTAGCTATAGATCAAGTAAAATCGGCCGGTCAGTCAAATCCAAAGGCTTTGTTCAGTTAATAAAATAAAACATTTTTTTTAAAAATAATTTTAGGTGTAGTTAAAGTAAATATTCATACGGACTCAAAGTTTCTCATCAATTGTGTAACGGAATGGATGCCAAAATGGAAAAAAAAACGGTTGGATGACGTCCGACAAAAATCCTGTGAAAAATAAAGACATGCTCGAGTCGTTGGAAGAAAAAATCAAATCGATGGCCAAAGTTTCTTGGGTTTGTATTGGTTGAAGAAAACGTCGCATTTTTGTATAATCTATCGTTGATTCAATTTATTTGTCTTAGACTCACGTGCGTGGACACCAGGGCATCGAAGGCAACGAAGAGGCCGACAAGTTAGCACGTTTGGGTGCCCAAGAATAATCTGTTGTTATGTTACTTCTATTAATTTATAATTTATAATGTATTCTTATTGTGTTTGTCTAAAATTTGCACCAAGTTTGTATGAAACACAAGTTTTATTAAATTATAACACTTTTGATAATAAGGATTATCTAGGATGTTTTTTTTTTAATCTAAACTAAAAGTAGTTGTTACTAACTAATTTTAATAAGAATATAATAATATTAGAGATTATATTCAGAAACCAGGTGTGTTCGTCGCCTTGGAATAAGCAAAAGTGAGCCTTACTGGATCGCTAACATGAGCAGTTTGTTATGGACATTATTAATTACTTTTTAATTTTCAATGGCTAATTACTTTTTAAATATAAATATAGACAGCAAAACTATAGAGTACAGACCATTACATAATATGTACCATATAATTGAAATATGCAATAACTATAACTGTGAAATTTCAGGTCTTTTCTGAACTGGTCCAATCTTTGAAGTTTTATCTGCAGTTAAAGTTTTTAGACTTAAAATTTATTTATTTTAAATAATACAGACAAATGTCCCATTAAAAATTAGATATATGACATAGTAAATCTGAATAGCAATTGACCTTGATGAGTTTTCTTAGCGTTAAATTTAATTGAACACCAGCAGGTTTTTAAAAAATAGTCCAAATTGTTTTAGAGAGATATATGTATATATATATTTTATAAATACTTGTGTAAAAAAAAAAAAAAATATATATAAAACAAAACAAAAAACAATATTTTTATATAAATTACATTATATATATACTAGTGTATAGAAATAATAACACGTTGAGCTTTTCAATATTATAAAATCACAAATCGATATTACTAATTATTATGGTTAATACATGAGAAAAAAAAAATACTATACAAAATGACTATGTAGCGTTCAAAAATGATCTCGCGCCCTTCGAGTGCACCGCAAAAAGACAAAATGCCAATTAGTTTACATATTAAACTGTCGAGCAGTACTTTTGCGTTATTATTATATCAATTACGTGTAAAAGTATAAAATATTGTTATTTGGGATTTCTTAAATTTTCCACAAAGTAACATTTTTTGGTTTTAATAATAGTAAAAAAAAAAATATATTAATGTAGAGATTAAAATATATCTGCGTTGTGTGGGCTACCGAATTGAAACGCACCATTGTTATTTATTAGGATAAACTTTGGTAATTGCTAAACGAGAACAATATTATCGGACACATTGTTATTATAAAACATTAACAAATTGCTACTGACTTTTTTATTCGAATATTACCATCAATTTAAATCTATACTCAATTGTTTTGCCTAAGAGTAAAATAATTAACGTAATGAGTAGAGGTACGTTTTGAAATTACATGCTAAATAAGTTTGGTTAAATTTTTACATAATCAATAATAATAGTTAAGATATATGACTAGTAAGATTGGGATAAAAAATTTGTTCTCTTGCTCCATCGAGAACGTTCGTTTAAATATTTCCTGTCAATTAATATTATTTCTAGATTTAGTGGAATCAAATAAAAATATATACAAAATCAAAGTTACAAGGCAGTCGATAAATTAAATACATAATAATAATATAAAGTCTATTAATATAAAAACTCTGACTAATAATATAAATAAAAAAAAAAAATAATAAATAATAAAAAAACCAAATAGGAATGTTCATACTAAGCATACAACAGTATACACTATGACGCGGCAACGCTGGGAGTTTGCTCTTTAGCAGACCCCGACAGTTGTCGGCCGCTCATCATGGCTTCCACTTCGGGATATTGCATGCGTACAGAGTCGACGACGTCCAATAAATTTTTAGCGTCCATTGCTAGTATGTGACCCGTAGACAACATATCTCTACGCAAACAAGTCAACGTGTATTCAATTATATCGAAACGTGTGATTGTGTTGCGATACTCACTTGTTGTACAAATAGTCAACGGCCGTGTGACAATAGTTTTGAGCGAGTTTCATTGCGTTGACTAAGTCGGCCATGTCTTTGCTGAGCACTTTATGGGCCATTTCCACTTGTTTGTGAGCACTTTGCGGGAAAAATGGCACCAGACTGTCGACGCTCGTCAACAAAGCGCGCAACTGAAGACCGACTTCTTTGACTAGTTCTAAATATCGATTGGTTTGATTTTGTTGTACACCTTTAAAACGGAGCAATTTTTATTTTTTTTAATTAAACAGCGTCATCGGTGTAATTTGTTGTTGTTGTGTTTAAGTCTCCTACCTTGTGATAGCATCATAACAGATTTCACAACGAGCGTTGTGCATTCGTACACTTTATCGTTATTTCGGTTCAAATCGGCTGTCGGAGTGGGTTCCAATTTCTTATAAACCATAAAAAACATTATAATTGTTGTTATTGTTTGTGAAATCAAAAGCAAGTAAAATTTTACCTTTATTACGACTACTCGTTCGTCTGTAGGTTTTGTCTTGGTGCTACGATCTAAAGACGAAGGTGGAGTTTGAGACGATCTGCCATCAATTGATTCGCTGTCCGATTGACTGGGCACTAGAGACAACCTCTTTTTCTATAATGAAAGCAATTAAAATAAATAAACTTTTAACACAATTGATTATTTTTAAAGGCTTACGAGGTTGGTTTCTTCTTCGGCCAACCATATACTGTCTTTTTCCGACTCAATTTGCTGTTGCTTCAATCTACGTTCCAATTGTTCTACTTCCGACAACGCTTCGTTATTACCATTTCCACAGTAATTAGCTCCCTAAGATTAAAAAAATAAATCAGATTTAAATAAACATTTGAAAATATCATTGTTAGTTATAATAATTATGTGATATACAAAAATTATGTAATTGTTTAGCTTCAAGCAAAGTTGGGCATTATTTTTGGCAATTTAGTGAGAAAAAAAGATGAATATTTATTCATCAACACAATTTTGTATTATTTACAAATTTTTTTTTTATTATTTGTTTGAATATCTAAATAATAATATTAGATACATTTTTTATTAATCTAAAATAAAAAACAAGATTGTGAGTTCATAAAAACGTTATAAAAAAGAGTATCTATGATTAACATAAAATTATTTGAACCTTTTTTTTTTGTATAAATAAACAATTAAATTTAAATTCACCCGAGATAATTTTGTATCTATAATTATTAATTTTTCATTTATCCAATAAATAATGTTATTTACGAATAAGAAATTACATATTATATGTCAAATGTTCCATTATTTGTTATCTTAAATAAATTGTATCCAACTCAAGCAAACTGTGTGACAAAAGCAGTTTTAAGTGGTAATAATGAAATAGATTACATTAAAAGCAATGTATAAAAGGAAATGCTACAACATCAATTTCTAATGTTAATCTATTGTTGACAAATCTTTTTAGTGTCTTGTAAAATACTGATCAGATAGTAAGACCGTTACAAATATATTAAGTGCTTGTATTAAACTGCTTTTAATTACTTTAATCCTTATTGTTTTTACCCATCACTTTCTCCAGTGAATACATTTAAAAAAAAATATCAAACAATTGCCTATACCAAACCATAGTTAATGTATTTAAAGATTATAACAAGTAAAATGTAATTTAAGCGATATTTTACTTCATTGGGTTCGGAAAAAAAAGTCTGATCTAAAACAGTAAAAATATAATTTTTGTTCAGATTGAACTTAACCACTTACAACCATATACTTAAATAAGTACTCTTAAGGTGCAAACATTTTTTCAAAAATTGATTATTTGTGTATCAAAAAAAAGCAAAGCAAACAATGAAAGCAAGGTGAACACCAAACGAGCACATCAAGTTAAAATAATACTGATAGTGTGTGTGTAAAGTACAAACATATTTTTTAACGACTAAGACTTTGATGCGTCGTTTTTGCAAATGAATTTAACGACCGGATACATGTAAACGATTTAACATATAGTTATCATAGAAATAGTACACCGAGTATAATATATTTTTTTTTAAATGTTTAAGGGGTAGTCAGTATTTTCAAAAAATCGAATTTTTTTTGCATTTCCTTTAAGTATGATGTCTCGAAAATATTATCTGAGAATTTCAAGTTAATCCAAGGAATAGATGACTCGATGTTAGTAATTAAATAATTAATATTTCTATTAAAAAATCTAGTATAAAACTTTAAATGAGTTTTTCTCGAAACTATGCTTTCAAAGTCGGTGATCATTGTAATTCAAAAACCATTTGACAGATTTGAATGAATTTATACAGCTTATTGAGAGCATAAAAAACTAGTGCCTTATCGAAAAATGATATTTTTTATAAACAATAAACTAGTGCTTTTGTTCCTTGAAAATCTGCGAGTAAATGATCTGAGGTCGCCATTTTGTTTATTCTCAAAAAAAAAAAAAGCTTCGACTGGCATATTCAATACACATATCCAAACAACGGAAATAACTTGTTGAGTTTTCTGATGACTACATAAGAGTTAACAGTTCATGCGGAAATCGTCAATAGTACCCAGCCGCTATCAGCTCTACGTTCTCTACATTGATAATACTATCGTTGCACACAAGCGACAAACGGTCATGCTACGATACACCACATCGGGCCGTGCAAGCTGAACCTCGTTTTGTCCTCCACCATTCGCACACGAGCCCAGACCGCCGTCTGAACACCGTCTCTTATTGGCGCTTTGCAATGTTAGTGAAGCCGCTGCTGCAGAGGTGAAATTTCTAGGCAATGTCTTGTTAGTAGTAGACGCCTGACAGGCGCCGGCGCCACCAGTGTCGGACGGCAAAAGTCCCACAGAGTCCATGCTCAGTATGCTGTTGCCAGCCGATATGGTTTTGTCGTCGTCCAAGTCGGCGAGAAAATCTACCGTCATCGTGTTGAATCCGGTGGCCGGCGTCGTGTACACTGACGGATTAACGCCCCGAAGTTCGTTCTCCTTCAGCAGGTGAGCCAATACTTCGGCGTTCTGGGCTACTATGTAAGTTGACACGGGCAAGTCTGACTTGTTGTCCGTGCTGGGCTGACGCGATGGTTTGGGTGGTGCCGACGGATCGTCCAGAGAGCCGCTGGAACCTAAAAGATAGAACCACCATCAGGTATTTATTTAGTAAACACACACGATTGGCTTTCCACAGCAACGATACAAACCCCAAGACAAAGTGTGTACTCTACGGTTTTCCCGGCGCAGGTTTTCCTTTTGTTGGTGTTTCTCTTCGATGAGGATCTCGCTAGAAAAATAAAAACACAGCATCATAAAAAAATGTTCGTTTTTTAAACTTTTATGCGAGATCTAACCCCTTTAAAAAGCAAAAGGTCACATCTTCGCTTTAAAGAATGCGGAAAATCCCCCCAAAAATGTAAACGATTTTTAACTTAAAATCACGGCCCGTTATAACTTTTTGAAAAAAAAAATAGTCGAATTACTTCCAAACTCGAATGAGACATTGATCAGTAATTGCACGCAAAATGTCTTTTATTGGGTCAAAATTAAAAAAAATTGCGCTCGGTCCATTTCCTTAGATTTAGCACTACATATTATATAATATGCAGTAGAAAGTAAAAAACAAAATCATCAATCACTTAGTAGTTTTAGGACTCGAGTCAGTCAGTGTCGCACTGGAGGGTTTATTCGAAAGCGATTTCATAAAGTTTAAGTTCCTTGCCCGACTTACTTGAGGACTTCTTTGATGTCTTTGAACGTGGGTCTCTTGCTAGGCTCGAACGACCAACACTGCGACATCAGGCTGTACAGTCTGGGCGGGCAACGGGGCGGCAAGGCCAGTCGCTCGCCGTTTTCGATCTTGCCGATGACGTCGTTGTTCTTGATCCCCTGGAACGGCTTGACGCCCATCATCAGTATTTCCCACATGCAAACACCGAACATCCAGACGTCGCTGGCCGTCGTGAACCGTCGGAAATTGATCGACTCCGGCGACATCCATTTGATGGGCAGTTTGCCCTTGGACGCCTTGTAGTAGCTCTGGTCTTGCACCCACCGGGACAGCCCGAAGTCGGCCAGCTTGACACAGTGATGCGACGAGACCAGCACGTTTCTGGCGGCGATATCCCTGCGAGAGACACAACTCAAGAACAGTAAGTACCCAACAACAAAAACACACATTCGACGGGAGCTCGCCGCACTCACCTGTGAACGAATTTCTTGGATTCCAGATACGAAAGGGCCGTGGACAGCTGATACGAGTACTGTATGAGCGTGGCCAAGTCCAGGTGCGCCTGATTGTTTTGCAAGTAGGCCCGGAGTTCGCCGAGTTTGGCCAGCTCCATGACTATCCAAACGGGCGGCGAACAACACACGCCTATCAACCGTATGATGTGCGGATGGTCGAACTGTTGCATTATGTCTGAAAACAAACGGCGGCGACAATGTCAACAAAGGCTGGCGGGGCCAGTACACTACGGCGTTTAGTTATATCTTACAGGCTTCTTCCAGAAACTTGTCCGTGGTCGCCATGTCCGCGTCCGGCTTGCAAGTCTTTATGGCAACCGCCACGGCGTTGCTAGGGCCGTTTTTCGTGGTGCGCATCTGACAAATGCCTTTGTGCACGTCACCGAATTGACCTTCGCCGATGGTCTCGCCCAACTCGATCTGATCGCGGAATAGTTCATAGTTGCAATCTGCCAAAAAAACAATAAACCAATCGCTATGAACCGACAAAATTGTAAATGTTCACTCCAGGCACAGTGTTGTATAAATTATCTAAAATGTGTTTTTGTGTTATGTTGTAAAAATGTTTGAAAAAAAATAGACGAAAATGATAAATATAAAAAAACCGTGTAGATTCATTTTTGACACCCACGGTCAATATGAGCACATTTTGAAAAACAGTATTTTGAATAGCCAACAGGACTTTAATAACTCAAGACTCTAATGATTGTCGACTAATTAGTCACTTTACAATTGGAACTAATCCATTTACAATATGAATACCTACTATTCGTCTGTATCCAAGTTAAACATATTTACTAAAACAAATGAGTTAAAAGCCAAAAATGAACGAAAAACCTTTAAGATTTCAAAAAAATGTTAACTTCATAATTAATGTTCTTGTCGCTTGTAAAAAAAAATGTTGTTATTACTACATTTGTATTGAAAATCAAAAACAATCATACTTGCGAGAGTCGAATAGTCTCCTTCTTCGTCCAACGGGCCGTCATCGGTGTAATCGTCAGCGAACCTCGCCGGACTGCTTTTGACTTTTGCTCTCCCTTGCTCTGTTAAAAAAAAAAATGTACAAAACATATCACGGTTGAACAGCGAAAGAGATTAGCTAACGCGATAACAGAGTTGCCCAACTGATTAGTTTTTGTTTAGTGTACATTTTAACCCATATTTTTTAGGAACCCGGCTTTACAAAGTTAACATTTTCGACATTTCTTTTTCATTAAGAGGATTTAATGAGCGGTCTGGTCTGGGTAGATATCGTTTCGCTTAAAATAATAATAAACATACACTTAAGCGTATATTTATTAGTACGAGTAATGACGATTATTAATTAACAATAATTTATTTTATCAGATTTATCAGATCATCACATAGACAACGGCTACCGTGAGAACGTTTTCAAATATTTTACTAACTTAATCGTACCTAGTTACCCAAAACCCGTTTTGCTTGATCTGTGACGGCTTTAGAGCAAAATCATAAATTATCAAACATTAAAATTTTTTACACTGTTTTTAAGTGTTTACCTAATAAAGGATGTTTTGACGAGTAATATTTTTTCATAATTTATCCTTTTTGTTAACCAGGTTCCTCTATTAAACTTTAAACGTTTGCAACATTATAACAAAACAAAAACAAAAAAAGGTAGGATTTATATTCTATTTTGGCCAACTCTGCGCGTTTTACTACTAGAAACACAAACCTTTGAAGCCACAAGGACACGGGAACCGATTCCATATAGCGGCTTGCAATTATAATTATACACACATCCGCGGTATTATAATGATAATAATTCAACGGCGATTCACTAAACGATTGGCCGTTTAAAACGCGCTTACCTTTTTTGTCCCACAGCGACACGTTGGATTTTCTAGCCAGCTGACAGTAACCGTCGATGAGGCTGGCCAGGCTGTACATGTGCTCCAGCGTAGAGCAACTCAACACGAGGGGATCCGTCGAATCCGCCACTCTTAACTGGACCAGTGCTTTTCGGTGAGTTTCGCATTCGGACACGAGGGTTTGGATGTTTTCGATGTGCGCGAAATCGGCCATTTTGCTGGGCTGAAAACGCACCAGAGTCTTTGAGCTTTGGAGTTTTTTATTTCATTTTACTTGCAAAGCTACTATTTTTTTACCCTCCCCTCTCCGATTTAATCGATAAAAAAACACTTACGGTAGATCCTTGGCTGTTGACATACGAAATGCCGTGTCGCGGTCCGATCACCAAATCGACCGGTATGGTCCAACCAGACTATATAGGTAAAAGAATAAATTCAAATTATAAATTTTCAACCCGTCAAATGGAGGAAGTGATGGTAGTTTGGAGAGTTTGAAAAATAATAACCACCGAGCAAAACGAGACTCACTCCGATCGAGCATTTGAACAATTCTTCGTCGTACTTGTAGAACGACCAGACGAGACTTAGGAACTGTTTGACGCAATCCTTTTCCGGGATTTGAGAGATTTTTTTGTACTGTTGTTGGATCATTTTTCGGAGATTCTTTGGTTTGGTCGACTCTAGGACGTAGTACGGCAGGAACTTATTGAGTCCGATCTATTGAGTACGGTGACCAGATTAATACCGACACTGCAATACCACTTGATAATAGCCGGTAGAGGTAGGGGTACGTACCTCACGTTCCAAGTACTCCAGGTTGGATTTCTTTTCCAACGACATTTGGGACACTTCCCGGAAGAAGCACCGTATCTGCAGACAACACATTTGCACGGCCAACTCGGTGTCGACGCGAACCAGGTCGTTGTTCCTCAGATAATCGTACCGGACCTAATCAAAACGATAACGAGGTACCGTAAAAACAACCGGCCGAGTAGTTGTCAAGCGCACTATATACTTACTTGGTCGTAGTGAAAGAAGTAAGTGAACCGGTCCGTTTCGTACAGGTCGTCCAGGTCGTCGGGAGAGTATCGCACGCGCAACTCGAACCTCCACTCTGACATCGGGTATTGTTCATCATATTTTTTGTAAATCTGCAATTGGTAGTCATTTTTTTTTTTTGAGTAATTTGGTCGATAACAGCGTATACCGGCGGACTTACCTCGGACATCGTGCAGTCTTGGGGAAGCCAGTGAACGTCACCGGACAGCGGATGATACAGACGCAGACCGTAAACGCCTTGATAATGCGGACAACCGTTGGCCAGACGTCCGGTGACCAGCGATATGATTCCCTGAAACCGATGATCAAATTTGTACTTAATCAAATGCGGAAAATAACAATAACGAAAAATAAAACAAATGCGCAGTTGCGTTTGCCAACGAGAGGTGTGTGTACAGTGTACACGGGTGTATTTTTTGCGCAAAGGCGAAACACCTATCTGTTTTTCGGTTTACCTTGACATTGATGTTGTCGATAAACTTTACTACGTTGAATCCGTTGTTGGGCAGATGGACTTTGACCGATCCGGTCTTGGCCGCGGCGGGGGCGCTTCCGTCTCGGCTACCGCTCTCCGCCATTTCCGCTTGTTCGGGCAACTCGGACCTGTCATGGCTGCAACACAAGTTACGGTATTTGAAAACGTTAAGACCGCGGTGTCGGCGTTTGTTGTGGCGATAATGGCACAAAAATCCGCACATCGGCACCGAAACCACCGACAGTTTAACAAGAAAATAAATACAAATCGGTAAAAAAAAATGTACAGTGGCTTTTGCCTTGACCGGCGTCCACGACACTGACACGAGCTACACTGGTCGCAGGAGTCGGCCATCGGGTGTAAACCACCAAAAACGCGTCGCGGCCGTGGAAATCGTAGGTCCGGTTAATTAGCAACCGTTAATGACCTGCGAGCACTGGTTAATATGCCACCTATTAGCCGCGTACAAAACACACTCAAAATGATTATGTTGTGTCGCGCCAAAAAAAAACAGTAATAGGTGGTACACGCACGCGGCATTATTGTACCTATCCACGGACGGTTGAAAGGTCAAAACGGTGCAACGATTATGACTGTAATATATTTTTTGCCCACTATATTACACACACGCGGTAAATACAATTATTTAGGTAACCCGAGGCCCAACATATGATGATAATATTATCTATCGTAATACGTTTCGCGGGTCATGGGCGGGCCGTCGACCATAATATTATAATAATATTCGAAATGTACACAATATCATTGACGTGTATTATGTTAGATACATCGGAGAGGATGAATGCCGCCGCCGTCGCCGCGCGCAATACCTTATTCGGCCAAGTCGTCCGAACGATTTTGGTGAGAGGTCTGCATGAGTCGACATCGGCACTTCCAACGCAATCACAACAAACGTTTTACCTATGTACAATGTATAAATTATACCTACTCGTTGTTTGTTATTATGATATTATTGGGATTGTCAACTAAATTTTTAATTTAAACATGTTACTATGACCCGAAACGGTATATAGACATGTTCCAGAACAAACCTAACTTTGGAAGTGCGTACCTTGATTCTGAAAGGTCTTAAAATTAGCAAAACTGAGATAGACTAAAACGGTACTCTCGGGATAAAAATGGAAAAGTCACGAAGAATTTTGTAAAAAAAAAAAAACGATCACGCGAATGGAAAATAAAAAAATCGTTTACCAAACCTTACGAAAAGGGGAAGATTGACCATTTTAGATCCATCTTTTAACGCTCATCTTATTCTTCTTAGCCACAATCTTTTTCAATCCTTTCAATCTCTGTCATGACTAGTTTTATTGTATGTTTGAGTCACGACAATTGAAATTGATCGGGAAGTACACCGTATCCTTTTTTTTTTACTGTCCTTTAAATTCAAATATAGTAACAATAAACCCGTTATTATTCAGGCACTGAACAGTACAGTACAGCCACAGTCTTACTTTTATTTGCGACCTTTTATCATAATTTTATGAATTAATTTTGAAGTTAAAACATTTATACGCTATTTCTGATTAACTGTATTTTGTCGGGCACGGCTTTCTCCTCAATTTCTGCACTAGCGAAGAAATAATAAAGGGACGGATCTAGGGAGTACTCAATGAATAATCGAGTTAAATCACTGTTACGGTCAGACATAAATGACATTGTCATAAGCACATTGAATAAGTCGTCCGGGGTGCAGTTGATTTTCGTTTTTCCTCCGGTCGAGGGACTGAAGTCACGTTGAAATTCGAAGAGTGGGAAGACGATTATTAATGAGCACTCGCGGTGGCATGATTAAAGTGAATAAGAGGGAAAAATTAGATAAAGGGGAGCGCTATGAAGTTGTTCCCCCCCTCCAGGAAATAGTTAATTTATAACACCGCAATGAAGCAGACGATTTATTACAATTATTACCATAATATTATCATACAGTCTGTTGGTGTGACCAACACTTTTGGCACGCCATTCGACGAACAGAGGCCAAAGGGTTTCGAGTGTACCTTTATGCGTGTGTGTGTGTACTATGTGTATCTACACTGTATGCATTATAGTAAGGTTTATTTGTGTACGGATTTATCGAGGGAGAGATTGGTTTTATGATTTGAACACCGACACGTGCGCTCGTGTAGCGAGTGCACTCTTTTTCAAAATATTTGCTTGTCCGTCGACCGCTTGTATCGAGTTTAAATAGATTTTTTGTTTTTTTATTTATAAAATAGCATCGTGCGACGTAGGTAAACATTGTACTATCAACTACAAGTGAATAAGAAATGTTTTTGAGTATTTCAATGACGGGATCAATTACACAAAGCCAAAGAAAATATTTATTATTTCCACACCAATAGGTCACGGTTGAGCAATAAAAAACCGTCCCGAGGTGACGAATCCGTTGTCTGTTAAGTTTTACACAATTAGTATTTTGACCAGCTTTAACTACTGTAAGCCTTTCAACGAGATAGCTCTGCACAGCTTATGCCGAGTTGCATGAACACTTATCAACAAAGGTTAATGAACCAATAGACGACATTTGGTATAGTTCCTAAACACCATTTTTTTAAATTTTAATTTATTAATACAAATTTATCAATTAAAGTACATACATTTTTTGTGCATGCCGGTATTAAAATAAAAACAAAAGGTGTCGACAAGATATAAAATATACCTAATGACCCTCAACAATTTATGACGAATACAACTAAAATATCAACATAGTTAAAAATATGCAGCGAGTACATTTTTAATTTGAGAATAACTTGTGACTTATACACGATAGGTATCTTTTTTTTTTTTAACAAGTCCGGATTAAATCATTACAATATACATAGCATTGTATGAAATTAGTAGGCTGAGAATTCATTCCTTGGTACGTAGGGCACATCCTTTCAGGCCGACCGTTAGTATAATTATTTTCTTTGTTTTGTTTAAGCCTTAATACAAGTGGCGACCTTTATTGTATCTCTTCTCTCTACCATTATCTACATCTTCATGCGGTTACCCCGTGCTTTCCTCTAGTTTGACCTACCGCTGTACTTTTAATATTCGAATAACCAATGTTGTAGAATATTAGTAATACAACGGCGGCTTATTGAAAAAAAGGACAAAAGGTAATGTATTAGGTATATGTACATTAGATTTGGCTTGGACATAACATACACATTTCTGCATGCCAACATAAGACATAATAGGTAATATTTCGTGTCGGCGCGCTTAAGGCGTTTTGTCGTTATAACGGACTATGCGAAAAGCGCGCAGTGCGTGCCATTGACGTAGGCATATAACAGCATTACTTATGCAGAATTAGTTTTTAAGGGGACAGAAACGACCGAGAGAGCAGAGAAAAGTCGCCCACTCGGTCGACTTGAACATGCCTGGTGTACACTCATACACACACCTTTTTTTGTCTTTGGAGGTCGCTTTGATTTTATATACGTGGTACTACTCAGTGACGTAATGACTAGCCGGTTTTGCGCTTAAGGCCGCGTGTATTATAATACACGGCCAATACGAAACAGTACACACATAAAGCAACAATGATATACTGCAAATAAAAATACAAAAATACGCGCTTACAGTCACCTACACGAACTTTTATTAGGCGCGCCAACCCTACAACAGTCGAGAGTCCGTGCCGTGCGCACCGAAGGAAAATAATTTATGTAAAGTCTCGTTTAGGTTCTGTTTATCTCGACGTTTCATCATGGTTAAAATGTTTTTCTTAATGACACAGTTTTTTGGCACATTTGCGTGCCATGCCGCCGAAAAAGATGGTACAGCGTTTTAGGTTTATTTTACTTAAGTAAGTACCACCGGTTTATGCAGGCTAAATTATTCCACCCTTGTTAGCATTTAATTTGTTTTGAAAATTCGTCTTCCCTCTTTAGATTACCACTATACATTTGACACTGCCCACAATATAACTGTCATAGTGTAATAAAACCATAGGATGTAGTAAACCATAGGCCATAGAGCATAAAGTAATAATATATCAATAGATGATCTTAAATACATTTATTGGTATGAACAACACAATGAATTAATCAATAGTACAAAGTTCAATGGCATTACATGAAGAAAAACATAACAATAAGTCGGAACAGTCGGCATCAAAACAAATGTAAAATGCACATCATAATATTATTCTATTTTAAAAATGCATGCGAGTTTACTTCCAATTATACCTAAATGTTGTTGTTTCGATTTCAACGTCATCATCGATTGACCCTAATCAGCTTGATACTATAATGTCAAAAACTTTTGATTTCACTAGTTGGTCAAACTTAGGTTTGACTTTTTGGTTACTCCAATAAGTGTGCGCAGCCTTAATTCGCAGTATATGCAACTGCCAACTTATCAAGGCAACATTTAAGAAAAATTTGGTTTTTATAAATTTCGACCATCTGAATTTATTTTCTGGTCAATCGTATAAATTTTAGAGTATTATTTTTAACGTGCACAATTTTTTCTATAAGTAATAACCGGATTTCGATAATCTTTTTGCGAAAGAAAAAGTATTTTTATAGTTAGATCTCCAAATTTTTAATTTAATAACCAAACATTTATCAAACAAAAAAACAATTATTCAAACGTTAATTAAGCCATACATTATTCAAATTTTGAAAATCAGAGATCGATGCGTTGTAAAATGTCTTCTTTTCGAAACAACTTTTTTTATCGAATTTAGATTATGATTACATTATACTTCATTTTAATTATTAATTTTTACTTTGAAGAAAGAAGGTAATACAATAATCAAAATAAATCAGTTTTTATATAATAGACTAGTTAAATGTATCGATAACAAAATAGAACATAAAATTAATTACACCTAGACACATACCTTTGACACTAAATTTACTAATTACTCATAGTTCATCCGTCTTGATTGTAATGTTATTTTAACCGCTTTAATAACATTATTGGCCGTTTGCACCAACTATGTTTAATAATTAAGGAAACCCTGGTCAATTTAAAGTACAATAAATTGGTGCAAACCTCTATCATGGGTTAATTATTTTTTGTTTTTATCAGTTACCTGCCGCAGCTGAGTCGTTTGAAACGCCAAGTGTGCGACACGTTGGAGAAACCGCCGTTGCTGGCCGAATCGACAGCCTGTCTTCGACGTAGCGGCTGACGGGGTTTTCGGACGGCTACGGCAGCCGCGGCCGCTTCTAGGGTGTCTGTCACCACAGCCCTGGACGCTAGAAATTTGGCCGCCAACTTCCGTCCGCCGGCTTTGAGCAGACCGTCGTCTTGGACGCCCAGGCCTCCGCCGCTACAGCCGTGGTAGCTGTGGGGCCTGCCGGACGACAATCGCGGCGGCCGCACAGGAGCGCGTTCCACGTTCACCCGATGCAGATATTGCGATCGCCGCCGGCCCGGTATCACCCTGTCGAAGACGTCGGCCAACATGCCGGTGGCGGTGATGACGGCGGCGGCGGTGGCCAAACAGAAGAAAAAATAATCATGGTCTTCTCACCGTTTGTGCGGCGGCGGGGTCGCGTTTTGCATGCGCATGTCCGCTCAGCTGCTATGGGCGTGTATCGTTAGGTCGGCCGCGGGTTTCGTTTATTTCCATAAATAAAATATATTTTATTATTATTCTTATTATTATTATGCAAATAATAATAACATAATAATGGTTTACGCGGGACGGAATAAGAACGTGTGGCAGGTGTGTCGGCCGGCTGCACCACGAGAAAAACGCCTTGGACAGAAAAATAAAAAAACCTCTTAAAACGACTAGTTAAAGTTACAGCTTTCACCACAAAGAATAAAACCCTCCTATTATAGTGGTAGGTAAAATATTTCCTTTTTCTAAAAACGTATCGCTTTGGGTTGGACAAAACGCAATTTGTTCAACAAAAGTTTAACCTACTATCTTTTTATTTCACCAAACTAAAAAAATGACAACTCTACCAAAATAATATAAAATAATCGTTTTCTGACACCCGGTAAGGAAATAATAATTGAATCGGTCATTTCAAAAACGACCTAAGCGAACGATTTTTAAAAAATGACTTTTTATCAAATTTGATAATTGTATACGTTGTTACGTATTCTGTGTAAAAACTACATTTATTTTATTAAAAAAAAAAAATAATATAATTTTATTAAGATAAACCCGGGTAGTCTATTGCCTAAAGATCAAGTGGAAGCTAAGAAAAAATGGACACCCACCCTCTCCCAGATAATTTTTCTCTGTTCATTTTTACATAACCTAAAACTTTCGAATTGTACAGCCATTTAATTCCGATAAATATTAGAAAACGCCTTCCGAAATGAAACTTCGGTTAGGACGTCAAACGGGCGAGTATAAGGTTTGTGATAAGTGATTTTTGGATTATACTACATTGTTTATTTATATAGTTATTTTTCTATTGGACATGAAAAAAACATTATAAATAATTGGATGATTATAGAGCGTTTTTATTTTTAATGTGTTTTATTCATATCTATATACGTGGACGCCCAGAGGCATTTACCCTCACCCCCCCCCCCTTTGACTTCAAATATAATTTTTAAAATGTTAATTTTTATTATTGTTTAAATAAAAATAAGTTTTTATTTAATAACAAATAAATAGTATACTATAATTCTGATATACTTTGTAGTTTGCAAAGAATAAACTTTTTTTAATGTACTTTTTGGTGTTTGATTTCATTATGCCACTCCCTGAAAAATGTATTGCGGGCGTCCATGTCTATATACTATGATATATTAATTTATAAATAATATACGGGCGTCCATTGTTCATACTTCATTGGTAGCAACTGGCAATATTTCTATTGCATCTGTCGTCTAGATATTTAATTTTAATATTATTCATATACCAAATAGTATGATAACATTTTAAGTCCAAAGGGTAAGTCCCAGATTCCTCGAATCAACATGGAATGTGTTTAAAAAATGCAAGCAAATAAGATGTCTACTATAACTTTTAATACTAGTAATATCACACAATGTTAATGTGTTGGGAATGGTGATTACTGCGATTACTGATTACGGGTATAAAAAAGGTCATATTATACTATAGATATAAAAAAAAACTATTATTGTTTTAATAATGGTAACTTTATCGTAACTACAATTTATTAATACAATTTTTTACTGCTCATGTAGAAGCTAGAGTAGGTATGGAAGATATAGATTTTATACATTTCGAATTTAAGCACACCACATTTGGTATGTACAAACAGGCTTTAGGTACCCTCCTGTTGTTTGTCGTAATTGTGGAAAAGGGAAATGGTATAATTCTAATCGTCGTGCAGTGGCTTTTGGATTTTCAGATTAGAGACGTGCCGAAAATTCCACGGTCTCGGCGAACGACAATTTTTATTTTTATTATAAAATTCTCATGTGGTGTATTTCTCACGACCCGTTATCTGCTCACACGCGACCAAGTAACACAACACTCGAGCCACATGCATAATGATTATGATTACACACAGACGACGGTAAGTGTGTGTGTGTACCGTGTACATGTATCAAGTAAATGCACTGTGCGTGGGGGGAGTCGGGACCGGGAGGGTTTATTTAAAACATATAATAATGTTAATGATAATACGCGAAGAGGGCAATAAAAATCTCAGTCCCCCGAAGCCCAACACATCTTTTAATATATTAGATTTTTTTTTCTTCTCCTCTTTCCGAGTGTCGACGAGCGACGATAAATCGGATTCTATAATTAGACGAAGTCTGTCCCCGTCCTTAATGGGAATTAAGTAATATGGATTAGTTATTTTTTTTAGAAAAAAAAAAAGAAGAGACCGTGGATAATATTATACATCCCACGAATCCATCCGGAAAAACAAATAATTAATTGTGTTTTTTTAGTACTTTTATGAAATTGCTTACTCGTCGGTTATAGACTTCTATTGTGATAACGGCGGATAATTTAATGATATTTTACTACTATTATGATTATTATTATTATCACCATCTCAGACGAGTTAATTAACGAACCGTGAAACGACCGACGTCTGCGGCGTTTAAAAAACACAATTATACAGTAGAAACGTGTGTCATGACCGTTTGACTTTTGGATGGCATAACGAGCAAATTAAAAACATATTAACTTATAGCATTGACTGGGTGTAGCGCAATCGTCGTGATTCGATAAGACTCTAACGAAAATCACCGAAGAACATTGGAAAACAAAAATATAATACCGTTATCTCAACTCGTGTTTAGGTATGAACTCGATAAAATGAAACCGCACGTTTTTGTTTGTTTTTTGTATATATTATTAATTATTACAGAGAGCACAGGGACATCTTACATGATACATGCAGAGCTGTAACGTATTTTTAGTGCTTGAATTGATATAAAAAGAGGGGGTGTGCTTTGATCAGCACTGCATATGCATTCTTATGATGATCATTAATTTTGTTCAATATCTCTTTCAAAAATTAATAAAATATTTAGACAAACACCGAAAGACAAATATCTATGTACAAATATAGTATCGAAAAAACTTGTTTTTGGAAAAAATGTAATTTTGCATCTTTTTGGGTTTCACCAATTCATATTTTTATGTGAAACCTAATCATTGATTTCTTCAACTATTATCATAAAAAACACCTTAATAATTTGAAATCATAAAGTTATTATATTATATAAACAACCTAATTTTAAACTGCAACTCAAAATCGTAATTTGTTTTATTTATAATCTTTAAATTAATTTGTATACAGTTTTAAAACATTATTTACAAACATTAACTTGTATAGGGAATAATTTTAAATATTTTTGTTTTTACAATATGTATTAATTACAATTTTGAACTGAAGTGGCATACAAGAAAAATCTACACTTTGTTTCAATCTAGTATAATGTTCAGTTCCACATTATGTGGTCTTCTAGATATTTTAAAATTTGTATTATAATAAAGTATCTATATCTGAATCGATTAGAGTATCTTATACTGCAGCTATTCGTACGGTAGCCTATATTTGATTAGTATATATGTATGTATTATACTCGTATGTATAGATTTAACATAGCGCTACTGTTATAATAACTTACAATATTATCGGATACGTTTTTAGAAAATAACTTTTTTTTTATTATAAATATCAGTTTACACGTTACACACAATCCGTTCGGGTATCGACTTACCAAAGGACGAAAGGAAATATAGACGGATATTTTTTAACAATAATAATTGGAAGCCAGTAAATATAGTTGTATTATACTCTTTCGATTTGCACTTGTACAGTTGTACCTAAGCGTGGATTAGGGTGGGAAGGGTTCATCGAGAGGTTACCTATACTCATGGTTTTATAATATGATTATTACTCGTTTTTATTTCTGAACTAGTTTGAAAACTCATGGTGCATTTGAAACTATTTTAGTTTTTTACAACATATCAGCCACCCGAGAACACGGTTGTGGTATTTTTAAAAAATATACACAGCGTCCGTTGGCGTTATAATTGCCTAAAAAAGTATTATTTATTTTTATTTGAAACGAGTCGCACGTCACGAAACACGTTTTTTGCGAATAATAATAAGAAAATATTTAATTTTTCCGGCTTCGAGAAGAAGGAAAATTAAAGTTTGCCGAATTACTTTGTAGAGTTATTTTCGGTCTATGACATCACAGCGACGAAGCGATTACCGTCCTTTTGTATTTTTTATCAAGGTGTATGAATCATGTTTTAACTTTCACAATAATGTATGAAAATAAAATAACCAATATTATTTATTTAGCAGGTGACATATTATTGTACCGGATTGCGGCGACGGGATTACCTGATTTTCATTTAAAATAAATACTTAGCAAAACGATTTCCTCCATAAAAAAAATGTTTTTTACTGTTGAAATTGATAAAAAAAAAAAACAACCAAGAAGCCATTTTACTCTCGATACGATAGGCGATAATGAGCTTTGTTGTTATGTTTATTGTAGGTACATTATGATAATAGTAATAATACCTAATTTCGTTTTACTCCGTTTCGGGTAATCGTGTACGGATTGTGTGTAAAACGTAGGCGTCGGTATTTAAACAAAAGTAATAATAATAGCGTTATATACTTTAAATATTGTGTATAGATTTTTTATTTGTTTTGTTTATTTTACCCACAACTATAACATGAAACTTCGCCAAATTACAACACTGCGACACGACAGCAATGGTGGGTTTTTTAAAGTTCACTCGGTTTGTTTTTTAAACGCATACAACTCGAATTTGGTAATTACCGTTGGCCCTTAAAACTTAAATTTATCAATTTATATTGTACAAAAAAAAAAAAATGGTAAAAAAAACACATCGATTAACGGCCCGTACAGACACTGTGGAGACGGCAAGCGCGCGCTGTGGTCGAGACTGTTAACCGGTAAACACTGTGGCTGGAGCAGGATTATAAAATTATTAATGTCAGAAGACCCATATGCCATGGCGCGACGACTTGGACTCCTTCCAGTCTCCTAACAAACTCGATAACGCACACATCGTAATAGGTGTTTTTTTTTAATGGAATTCCAACGTTTTTGTGGTGCTATCTGTGAGCACACACATTATAATAAGTTCAATAAATAATTACATATTAAAAAGATAATACATGTTTGTTCAATAGTAATAATTATAATATATACATATGTTATTATAATTTATATGGTAGAAAGATAGAGAAAGTAACGAAATTACTAACAGAACAGCGATAATGGGCATTACACGTAATAACCATCAACCACAATATACTCTTGTGCGTACAGTAATAGTTAAAAACACATAGTAAACAACGCATTTTTTTTTGTCAGCCGTCGCTACTTGTGCATAATTAATGGCACACGAACACACAAAAAGAAAATTATTATTCAATTATAATAATAAAAATAACAAACACTCAATGTGTCTCCTGTAGGAAAACACTAAAGGAATATAATTAACGAAGAGCAAAATAATAAAAACCTATATCATTTGAAAAAAAACACAATTTCCATTTTAACACTGGCCAACATAACATCCCCTCCTTGCTGCCTACTTTTAGAGAAATGATGTTTGAAGAAATGTAGACTATATTATATCAATTATTTAATAAATTACATGTGGCCTCTAGCAGAAAATTTTTTAATTTTTGGCTTCTCATATTTTAACAAAATGTGTAATAGGCTATTATTAGGTATCTAATTATATATAACTCAATGTTTAAAAAACAAATTTACTATTCATACCTGTGTACTATGCTAACAATGTATGGTAAACTGTATCACTTATATTCTCATAAACCATTTTATTATAATTTTTTAAAGCTCAATAATAGTTTTTCAAAGTTATAGGACAAATGTAAACAGATAACCATACCATATGAATTTTGAGAATAGGTGTTTAGGACCTGGCTCGTGACAAAAAATAAATATTGTCATATTTTGGATAGACGTAAACTGGGCTGAGCCTAGTCGAGCAATGGCAATTCAAGCCAAGCTCAGTCATTCTAACAGCTATTAAGATTCCCAAGTCGCACTCTACACTGTGAATTCTGTCTTAATTTTTGTTTCTCTTTCTTTGGCTTCAGTTTAAATAATGGACTCTAAGTAGTTATAACAATAACATTAAACATTTTTTTTTTAAATCTAAAAATCAACTTATGACTATTGAAAAAATTTAAAGAAAACAATGTCACAACTGTAAAAGTAATATATAATTTACAGTAGTAACTTTTACAAGTTAACATTAAGTAGTAATTTTTACCAAATAACTTTCAACATTTACAGCTTTATACCAAAATGTTTTTTTGGGAGTGGTTTGATCACTTTTAGTCATGATAATTTCTAGACCCGTAACCTTGATACCCACTTGGATTTAATAAATTTAATTATTTAATCGGTAATAATTCTGTGATAAATAAACACACTTTTTTACAGTGACTAATTTTTTTTCTAAATAATATCATATGATGGAAATTTAAAATAAATTACGTAATACAGTTATCAATTAGATAATATTGGAACAAAATAATTGTAATAGACAGTAGTAACATAACATAAAAGTCGCTTACTTTTAGCAGATGTTCCAAAACACACATGTTAAAAAAAAACACAAGTGACACAATACGAGCTAAGCTAATACACTATACACTTATACACCAAGTCAAATATTTTACTGATATATTGTGTAATTAATGTTTCATTAAGTTAATTACTATTAATTAAATCACTTTTGTAGCTTTATATAATTTATAATATGACCAGTATTGAAATTATTTTAATTGTTAAGGATACCTTTTATTTAAAAATATTCTTAAATATAAGTAAACCGTTGATCCACAATTATTAAATTATTATACTATCATAGTTATGCAAAATTACAATGACATCATTAAAGATTAAACTATCTAAGCAATTATTTTTTTATCAACTTCCGTTAATATTGTCATCTATGCAAAGGGAAAACATTTAAACCTATATTTATTTATAAAACTGTATAATCTATATTATGTAAAATGTAGTAGGGTAAATTCACAATTTTCAAATAACGTTTTCCTTAGTTCTATAAGTATTAATATCTTTATACTATTATAGATTGATTTATACACATTATTTATGATATTATAATAAATTCATCAAGAATTTCATGTATTTTAAGATCATCTATTTATTTTTTTCCAACCATAACGTTTATGTTATCGTATTTTTTAAAAATAACTTATAAATTTAAATACTCTATAAATATTTATAGACTCACCTTGCACTCCATGGCTTCTTGAAGTGTCGCTCCAACAGAATTTTCTCTATGGCCAAATTACTTCATTGTCATTCTAACTTCTGGCTAAAATAATAAATCATCGAACACGAATAAGTTGTGGCGTTAAAGCCTAAAGGTCCAACTCAGAGTGAAGGCAAAGACGCATAAATTTGGTCAACAAGTATGGTGACACTAAAAAGTCAAAATGTAGGACGTGTACCTGGCTTTGGGCCAAAGGTGTTTACCTGAAGCGTGTCGATGGTGTCGAATGGACTACGTCGAACAGTTACTCGACCAGTGCAAAGTTTGTTAATAATCGCGTTTTCAGGATAGACGCACTTACGATATTCGGATTAATGCCTATTACGGAAACCGAACGTGCGATGATGTTATGAATAATAATTAGAAACGAATATTTTTATTATTAAAAAATTGGGGAAAATAACAGAAAAGCGATGACGGTGATCACCCCAGTTGTACACGTATGATTTGCAATCCGTCAGCGGCGGACACAATCTGTTATTTACCACTAAAAAATTAGAATAATAATTCTCACCGATTCTGATATCAGCGCGAAAACAATATGAATAATCATTTTTTATTTTTTAATGATTTTTTTACAGTGCATTATCAGATAAGCAGGCTGCCCGATTACGGTCGACGGGCAACTTGGACGGTATGCGTGGCGCTGCCTGTCCGCCTAACTACCGGCCGAGATGTTTTTTCTTAATAAGTACAGTCGATCGATAACCTTTGAATTTTAACAAACCGAATGAGAAAAATAAATAATAACGTCGAGTAAATGATTTTCTTAGACGGGAAGAACTGTGTGAAAAATTAATATTTAAATTGGTGTTTTAAAAATGCAACGGTGACGCCGTAGTGCATTCGGCACTAAAACAGTCCGCCAGATAGCGCGACGTCTGCAGCCGTTCCTTATCTCGGCGAGTGGTAACACTGAACGAGCTGCGAAATAAACGTGATACTATTTGACACAAGATTTATAGGTAGGTTTTTTCAATTATTTTGTTTTTTTTTTTTACCGGTCGTCTACCTTTCCTCAACCCGTTAATTGGTCCAAAGCCGTCGCCGCCGTCTGTGAAATTGATTGCAGTTCATTATCAGTAGAACGCAGTGGCCGAAACAATACTGTGGGCCGTGAGCGTCGTCTAGGATAAGCGCTGCCGCCGCCGCTGGTCTGGTTTTCGCCAATTCAAAGCGGTAATAAAAAAAAATACAAGTTGAAAAATCCTAGTCAGTCGGTTTTCCACGGACCACCGTCCACGTCGTGCTCGCGTTTACGATAACCGTTGACTGATAATAGTATTATTATTATTATTTCAATAGTTTCCATACTAAGGAAGTTTATTAAATTATATTTTGTTGTTATTAGTTTTTTATAAATTTAATTTTAAAATCGCTTATAATTTATAACCTAATCGTATTGTGCGCGTGTCATGTCGACCTGAAAGCAAGCCAACGGTCGTTCGGTGGCCAAGGACCGAGGTCCGGTCACCCGATACGGTGTCCGATGAGTTGACGTTACCATCTAAGCGTTTTGAGGTCCGGCGGCCGTAGTTATGGACTTCGAGACGGATCAAAGCCTGAAGGAATGGGCCAGAGACAAACCACTCAGTATTTTACAATTGGACCCAGCTGATAGAGCCGTACTCCGGATAGCCGGTAAGAGAATATTTTTGTTAAACATACAGCAAAGTATTTGCTATACACGTCCTGTTGTTTTTTTTATTTTTTAAATTAGTTTTCTTATCGTTTGGGTTTAATAGATTTTTTTGTGAAGTGCAATGCAAACAATCTGGCGTTTTCAACACACATGAGACTACTAGAAATTCATCGTATACGTTAACCGCTTACAATCCGTATTATCCGTAATCAGATAGCTTAACATTTTGTTTGATTTCAATGTATTACAAGATACTACCTACAATACAGGAGTTATTTGTTCTAACACGGCGGGTATAGTTAATATTTAAAAAGCGAAAGCCAAAAATATCTGTAATTATACAATTAGTCATTAACATACCTATTATCCTACAGACAAAAAAATTCGTGTTAAAATGATCATAACATAATAATATGTAATATTAAAGAAGAAAAAACACGTATCCACAACCTTGGAACACGATACGCTTCGAGAATATTTTTTTCTTCTAAAAACGTTTCTACAAAGGTACAAAATTAGAAGTCTTCCGTTACCTGAGCGCCCCTTTTTTACTTTTTCTTTTTGTTAGGTAGTGTACCGTCCTGGCCGGTACATCAACGACTTAGGTAATATCAGAAGTAAAAAAAAAATAATAATAATAAAATATAGTTTTTGGGTTTAAGGAAACCGCGCGTTTCCTTTTTGAACCGTAGGTTTTCTATTTATTTTTTGGTCTGGATTTCGTATTTTGTATACTTACCCAATTGTTTGTGTTTACAAAAATATTCCAGGTCGTTGTCCTAGTGAACGCGTTTATCGTTAATGGACGTTGGTTTTATTTTTATTGATCGCTATCCGATCACACGTGGTGTTTTTATATGCGGTGCCGGCTCATTTACATATTTATTCCTATACATATTACATATGTAGGTATAAATTTAGTATCGTCTTGTCTACTATTGCTGTATGTACGTGACCTTGTACGTAGTCGAGCGCACGATCTCGGCCAATATCGCTGACATTGGTAATCGTTTATATAATAATAATTATAATAGTCATCGCCCGCGTTTCGCGTATTATATTGCCCTAAGCTGAGCAATAACGGTAATGTCATAATTATCGTACAATAATAAATCGTAATCGTCAGTGCGAGATCGTTGATTTGTCGATCTGTCATCTCAACGGTTCAGTGATTTTTTGATTAAGAAACTTCCTTACACGCATTATACTATCTATAATGATTAATGAATATCTAATTCGTCCAATCACACGAGTTTGGCCAGTAAATTCCCGTACATATGCAAAGTGCAAACCTGTTTAAAAGCTTAAAAATCAAAGTAAATTTAGAGAATTTTTTTCGTACGAAATATTTAATCCACTTTTTTGAAATTTTAAGAAGCCTAAAATATACATATAGATGGTAGACAAAACATTGTACCTGTTTCATTTATAACCATTTTTTGTCAATGACTGTGAGCTTAGTATGACATTCAACTTGACACAAAGAAAAAAAAGGCTTACATCATTGTAAAACCGACACCTTCGTAGCTCAGAAGCTAAACAAATGTATTTTATTTTTTTAAATTATATTCTACAATAGTTCTAGTATTCCTAAGTGTAAAAAAATCAAAAATGTTGACTTAGTAAACCAAGTTTTCCCTTCATAAACATTATGTCACTGTAAATTTCGAATTTGTGTGAAAATTTAAAAACTACTGTGTTTTTTAAAATATAATATAGTGTCTAAAGAATTCCTAACATTAATAATATAAAATAATTTAAAATTTATAAAGTGTTTTAATAAAGGTAAATTAGGAAATAAGCCTAACTAGAATCACTTGGTTTCGGTACTTAGTAAAACACACCATTTAATACAATATCATCGTGCGCCAAATTTAATAGTTTTCATTATTTGATAGCATTAAATAGTGCAGATATATGTCTTGTTTAATCCCTACGCAAATAATACTAGCAGCCTATACACTTCGGACATTTTGGTAAAATAATAAAATATGACCATAGGTTTATAGAAGTACATTTGAAATAACAATGTTACACGCCGCGCCATGCACCTAACAAAAAATACATAGAGAAACAATTATTTACACTAATTAACGTCTACCCTTGATCATTGAATAATGGTAATAATTATTATAAATCATACAATACAAGGTAATAAGTATCTAATGAATCTAGTACATAATAATTCATATATATATTATATAAAATAACAGTTGTAACGAAGCAATGCATACTTTAAACAAATTTAAACGTACTTATAGGAACGGCTGGTGAGTTTGTAGGAAAATGTCTTTCTAAGTGTAAATAATATCTGTTGCTAGCTCAGTATTAAAAGCTAGAGAAGGTAGATGATAAGATTTGTTTATGTTAAAGTATGCACTAATGATTAGAAGCAGTTGTAGCAAATTGACTTTGGCTTCGAAAAACGTTTTTTTTGTAAACACACTTTACGACGCGTTGATAGTTGTCTGTCGCCGGAAACGAACGGTTAGAGAAAACGTTGAATGCATTTTCTCACGTTATTAAACCGTCGATGGTTTCGGTCAGTCGGATGTTGTAGATAAGAAATCATACACGACCGTTTTGACCAGAACCACGTGACCAAGTGGCCAAAGAAAACCGAGTAAAAAAAGACTACACTTGCCTTAGTACAGAGTCAGTAATTCATTTTTTATGACAGTTGGCAATAACCAGTTTTTATTTTAAAAAAAACTCGCGCTGTCAAGTTTTTTTGGGTATGCGTTGACCCAATAATATCGACAGTTTTGGGTAAATAGGTAACAAACATAAAAAGTAATCCTGCTGGGTCTTTTTGGGGTTTGTTTGACAACTCTTGTTTTATGAAGACTAAACAATGTTTATTTAAACAAATATTAAGTTATCAATTTATAAAAATAAATTTGCAGTTAAATAAATACATTATAGTATTAGCTTTACAGTAATTGTTTTTTTCATATTAATTACGACATCGTCACAAAAACTACATTGTCACTGCACAAGGTCGGTTTTTCATGCGCATTTCGATAATTTAATCGTTTAAAATTACGTTTAATAGCTCAATCGCCTATCGAACGATAATTGCACATACGTTATAAACGGACTATAAATCCTATTAACTATTTTAAATCGGCTGTACTCTTGATATATATTATACCGGACATCTTTGTCAAAGTGTGATATGACCATTTCTTTTTGAAAATTCGATTGTTTTAATTTAGATAAAAATATTAATTAATCAGTACGCGTTACAACCACATTACAATATGGTTTTTATGTTTTAAGAGATTTTAGTTTTACTCCATTTTGGTATCACTGTTATTAGTGTTATAAGTACCCATAGGTTAATCATTATAGATTGATTAATAATTATAATTATATAGATATATAGTAATTGTTATTTCAAAAATATTATTAGACATTATGGATATATTTTGTGTTGACGGAAAATAGTTAAAAACATTAGAATATTTTTTTTAGCAAACTGTATGACCGTCTTTGTTTATAGCTAGCTTTTTAAAATGTGACAAACTTGACGTTCTAAAAAATAAGGTCGACTCATTAATTTGTCTTGTTTAGATAAGGTATAACAGTAATTGTTTGGTTGAATCTTTTGTCATAAGTTTGAAGCATTACAAAATGACAAAATCTTTTGCGTATGCTTTTATTTTACGTTAACACAATTTTTAAAATTAATTTTATGAATGTTAAATACATCCGACTTTGTTGAATCCTAATATTATTTTTAGTTAGAGTGACATTAAAAATTAGTCTTTTTTCATTTTTACTATACAATTGTATTGGTACGGGGCTGCTAAACGTTTTGGGCTTTCGGCCAGCTGAAAGCGGTGTGTATAAAGTATACCTACCTACCGACTGAATTGACATTAAACTTTCAACGAGCGACGGAT